ATTAAGGTATTATAAGCTCGCCGCTCGCCGAATTGATTAGAAATTTCAGTTATGGTTACGCTCAGATTTGACAATTTTGTTTAAACAAGTTTCATTAAGAGAAATCGGAATTTGAAATTATAATTGTACTAAAAACCATATATATTGCCTATCTTTTTGACAAATTTTACCGAAAGCTTATTTTTGTCTAAATGTACCAAAAACGGATCATTACAACTAGCCGTTTTTGGATGTGCAACCTATGATTTTGTGTAACGTATGAACGTGTAAGTATGTATGAGTGAGTTTCCTTTCATCACTCGAGCTGCCTCGTCATGAAGCAGAAACAGTTAGAAATCTGTCATTTCGAAATGTGACATAATGCTTATTAGAGAATACGATTTAAATATCTTGTCGTGGTTCCTCCATCACTTATTGCTGCGACGGAAACTACTCTTCTTCCCGTATATACATACACTTCTGAGGCTAATGAGCTTGTTTCATTTTATGCATATTTGTGAAAGGGGGGACACACCGCACATAGAATTTGAAGGAAAAAGATTTGGTTGCGTAAATTGTCGTACGTAATGACAATGTATGTAAATGAAAACACAACTTCACAGTTTTCTTCAACGTACGTTGAGCTTGACGTTCTTGAATATTTTTGACAACTGTTTTTATCCTTGTACTTGCAGTGCAGTGTGGTGAATTTGATTTTCGTGTATTTGTTTGCAACCAAACTTTACATCTTTCCACCCATGCAATTTGTTTAATGAGGAAGTAAAGTTACTTGGCTTGGCGTAATGTGGCACAAAATAACGTTGTATTATGATAATTTGGTCTCCAAATTTACTCAAGTTCTTGTCATAACTTTGACATGTTTTTTCAGCTTTAAATTCAAATTGGAGTTTGTCTGTCACATAACAACCCTTTGCTTTTGCGTTGGAGTGTGAACACGCGTTCTTGTCCCTCCCAAAAATGTACATGTTTGCTAGAGGTGAGCCGGATGTCCGTTTTTTTTTGATGATCCATGGCCCGATCCAACTGAATTTGGATGGATCAGATCTAGATAGAAGTTTTTGAGTGGATCGGATCTGAAATTTTTGGGTGGGTTGGATTTGGATGAATCGGATCTCCAAAAATGACGATCCAACTCACCTCTAGGTTTGCATTTGAATCTCAACTATGACATTACTTCCTCTCCTTATTCGACTCTTGTTCAAGTACCAAGTTTCGATATGTTTTGTTGCGATAATTGGTACATTTAATCTGCCGTCAATGCTTCTCGTTGAGATGACCACCATTCCTGCCATTGTGGTCCGTCGGTCATTAAAAAATCATGTGAATATAAGGAGAAATACTTGTCAAACATCTCTTTACCTGCATTTCAAACATGGTCTCTTCTTGAAGACACAATGATGTGATGATGTGATGGACGCTCACTCCCAATAAAATATTTGTAAGCATCATGATTCATGTACACGTTGAACTTTATTTAAATTTTCACCTTTGTGAATTTATGTTATTTTTCTTCACTCTTATCCTCACTTGTAGTTTACTGGCAAGAACATAAATTAGCTAGTAGCGTAAATTACTTCCATTGATCAGCTCAGCAAAACAGACAGACAGGATTAACGAACATGGAACGCACGTACGTGGTGAATTTCTGCATAAATTTCAATTCCAACAACACGTGGGAGAACGTGATAATGTAAAGTGGAAAGTTAGTGGTGCATGCATGGCGTATATAATACAGATCATTTGTACGTTGCACGGATGTTATTGGATGAAAAAGTGTCAAATTCCACGTGCATGTATTCATCCAACCAAGTTCATGGTGTTCAGTAAGTATGTACACAAGCAAGAGTAGGTACACACATATCTGGGATGTGAGCACGTTTAAATTGTTGGATTAGTTTCTCAACACCTTTTTCAATGTTTTTCAAATAATTAGAAATAAAACAAGATTAAATTAGCTGGAATAGTATCTATACTAATTTCTTTCTGTGTTGTAACTCTCCATGATATATGGGTACATATTTATGTATATAGTATATTTATAAAACTAGGTTTGGAATATTAAAATCTGCTAGAGTTTCAACAAGTTTAACAAGAATCATGGAAGCGATTTGCAAAATTCCATTCAGCAGCGAGATGACGGCGTTAAAACCATTTTCCCAAAAGATTGCGAAATCTTTTAGCATTTGCTGAAGCTTTGATGCAATAATATACACAGCCAGCCTGTTGTTTCCTCCGACAAATCTGAAAGATTTCTCTTGCATGATGCGCCTTAAACTCAGAAAAGTATTTATTGAAGCGGAACATTAAAATTGTTCTCTATTTGGCTTGGTTTAACAAGATGTGAGTAATAAGCAACATTACGCTCGAAATTTAGTATACTTAGTTGTTGCATTTTTTGTAAAGTTGCGTGAATCGCTAAAAAATAATTTACAAGATCAAAATATGCATGAAAGTCTCAAATCTCAGCAATGTTGAATGTGTAGTCCTGTGAACTTATTGTGTCGGAAAATTCATGTTTTCATTCCTTCGGAACAATTTCGTCATAAAACCTCAAATCCTGTTTAATTCTCTTTCACAGAAAGTACAACAAGTAAAGGATTAAACTCGCAAAGAGCACAGACAAATTGAAATTCATACACAATCACAACTTATTGTCGGGGAAATTAAATGTGGTTAATTATCGTGATGATTTAATTCAGGCAAGAAACTGAGTAATCATTTCGCTCTAAAATTTCGTTGTTATCCTCATTTCCTTTCGATTGTGTAAGCCTATGCTCCTGGCATTATGACTCAATTTGCTCATATTATTACTTGTACAATAATGCGTCCGATCGTATCAAAACACCCACATTCTGCATAACCAAAGGCTAAAATCGGAGGATAACGTTTGCTTATTTGCTTGCATAAAGAGACGCGACGCAACCATGCTGGATAAATTCGTTGGCAGTAAAAGGTAAAAATAGATTCGAAATATTGTTCCATTAGGCTACGCCTATTATGTAGTTCTCCGAGCAACCAAGTGCACCTCAGTCGGTCCGTTTGCAAATATATAGTTAAATAAATTGCATTACATGGCAGAAAATACGCACACAAAGCGAAGTCCTTACTCATCATCCTCATTACGATTTTATTTGAGTGAAGAAGTAACTCATATTCGCCAGAAAGTAAGTAACGGTTCTCAGAAAGAGTCCCAACTTCCGTTCTCTAGCTGCTTCTCAGCCAATCTCTGATTATTAATATAAAATTGCACAACTGAATAAATGCAGTTAATTGCAGTTCCATCTACAACTTTGTTATAACTTTTCCTTTACTCCAGTCAAATTTATCACAAACTGAGAATCCTCCCTCTTCATAAATAAATACACAAGATTTTCCAAATGAGTAGAACTTTGTGTGAAATTTTTGATCACAATAAAATACAGGAGCACCACACTGCATTTCTACTCTTCTCAGCATTCAATTGACATTTTTGACATGAAAAGAAATTTCAGTGAGGCGATGGTTCGTTTCCTTGATGTGTTTCTTTGAATTGACAATTTTTTGCATGTCGTTACACATTAATTTGTTGGTTGTACTGATTATCTTCGTTCACCGCAGAAAAAACTTTTGTAAAGTTTTTTTCTTTGTAGATGGGTTACGTTTACACCATCGTCCGCTCATTTGTAGGTTCTCCAACTTTGTTTCATAATACACACAGAACAGAAGGCAGATCAATTTCATTCTCCTCTTCTCATGTATCTTTCAACGTTTCAATTGTTACAAGTCTATATAACTTGGTTTTGTTTGGTTGTGTAATAATGTGGCAAAAAGTGAGGACATTGACAAAAAACTCTTGGTTGTGAATCGGAATTGAAAATCAGCGCAGCTACCAGCTCATTAAACTTTGTTTGTAAGATCAACCATTGGATGAGTCGTAATGTTGGAAGGGAGTTGATTTCTGCAGCATGATTTCAATTTTTGTGTGGTTTTTCGAGTTGATGGGAAAAGTTAAGGTCAGCTTAATGAGGCATGATAAGGCGGGCATTGCTGCCGTTACATCAAAGCTGACGGCCTCAACAGTACACGACAATTTGATTCGGTTCTATCCACCATGTTACATATGCGTGTACCATGAAGATTGAGAGAGCTGTAATAAGTTGACCAATTAAAATAAAATAAAATGGTTTTGATGCGGACACTGGCCAAGTACACCGTAACAATAATGGCCACGTTTTTGTCGTAATGAAAAAGGTGCAGGATCGCCACACTCATAACCCGCAACACCGTATTACATATGTACAATTGACAGCAGAAGATAAAATTTAATACAAGTTTACAGAATAAATCCAGAAGGAGTTCATTTATTTATTAGCATTAATTTAGAATTGAGGTGATGGTCCTGTTTTTGAGTTGCTCTATTTCACTTTGATGACCTTTGGCTCCTGCCTGCGATTTAAATCACATTGCAAAATACTTTGTGGTCATGTTATGTTTCAATTTGTCGTTCAAGTTGTCTACCCTTAAAACTGGTTAAATTAGAAACTCTAATACGCCCTGAACTTGGTTATTATTTGACATTTATACTTCAGTAGGAAGTAGAACGAACTAAATTGCAAAAGTCTTAGTTATGAATTCTATTTTTTATGTGAAGCTAGCACTAGTTGTGTGCTGTCAAAGTTGCGCACTTTGTCAAGAGTGATGGATGATTGCCCTGGTTGGTGACATTTAACTTTCAAACGAAGATTCAGCTGAATGATTTTATACGTACTGAGAGTAAATTCAGTATTTTTTGGTCCGTCTGCTACTAAGAAATAATGTACGTGTTTCCGTTTCATGTGTTGGTGTTGGAATGAAACTCGAGAAACTTTGAAATTGACATTTCACGACAAATAAAAATGTTGAATCTTGCACTTGTGTTGAATCTGGTCACAACGACTTTACAATATCTGAAATAAATATGATTTATGTGTATCATACGATTCCAGGGATGTTTTCTAACTCAATTGTGTCTTAACTTACAGCCCTCTCAAGAGCTCAGCGAGCATTGGCCGATTCGCTGGAGAAATTCACCTTCGAATGTATCGGAAGCAATCAGACGGATGATGAGATTGTTATTGCAGACTCCTTGCGACAATTTGGTCATCTAATTTCAGCCATTGAAGATGAGCGGGATAGAATGGCAAGTTTTTCTCCTTCTTTTTATACATTTTAGGAAACACAATACTGCTGTAAAGTGATAACGTACATATAATAAAAGTGAAGTAACGAGTGATGGATTCTTGTTTTTGAAATTGTTATGTACAACTCCTCTGCATATTGAGAACTCTTGCCTCTGCAAGTGTTGCGTTCATTAGATTCAGCGACATTTCGAATTTGAACTCTAAATATAAATACTTTGTTCTTACGAATTCCTTTGACGACATTACGTTTTCGATAGAATCCTTTTAATACCAACACGCCATTGGCAGGTGTCAGATATTCTCAGGTCAGGTAATCTCAAAAATAGTAGTAGATAAACATAAACAAGTCACATTATGAGTAGTTTTGATTTTCATGAAAAAGTTTGAGAAAAACAGACAGGTTATTTAAACAAAGTTGAAATACCAAACCTGTCCTACAATCAGTACATATGTACAGTAATCTGGCTGGGTTATGCATTTCACAACTTTATGCACGCTGGATAACTTTATTGTGAGATGTACCGTTTCCCAACTTTTATGGCGAACAAAACATCGAATAAATGATTTATATATGTCAGATGGACTAATTAAAATATTTGTTTGAAACAAACTACGAAGTTGTCTTTGGTTGAAAATTTATAGGAAAGCCCAAGTACTCAGTCAGTAAATAAGTAATGGCGAAAAGTCAGCCACTCACTCAGTCATGGTTTCCTTCCTAATTGACGTAGCCTGTCATGATTAAGGAGAAGCTTAAAGGAATATAAAATCTTTATTCTTGTTTACTCGCAATTTTAGAGTATCATGATTCTGCATGATTTCAGACATTTCTAAAGGAAATGAAAGCGTTGTGCTTTGTTTTATATTTTCTTTTTACATTTTTTTTCTCTTTCAAAATCAACCTCTTATTGCTAAACAGTTCTTACTACGCCTGGGGCTGCACATCATATAAACACAGTTCTCTGAGAAAAATATCTGCATTTAACATTATATTTAATTGTTGTAGTTGTACATATGCATCTGTTGATATAAACTCAAATCTTAGATGCATTTGGCAAGTACATTACTTACATTACTAGCTAGATGTTGAAATAAGAGGACCAATTCGGTTGCGGCAGTCTCTCCTTGACGGTCGTCGTCATTATCCTTGTTGTTCGAAAATTTGTCGTTCATGGAGTAATTCGAGCTTTTTGTTATTGACCCACAAGGATATTAGTTACATATCATGATTACTTTTTCTGCTCTGTGATTCTGCGAAATTGCCAAAGTTCGAGAGTTTTTAGAGTATAATGACGGATAAAAATGAGTACCAGGAACACTCAGACGACCGACGAGCATATAGCTAATCCTCAATTCTTCCTTCCTTCTCCTTAGTAAAAATATATACATCAAATCTGCTTAATTCAATTTGTGTAATTGGATCAGACAACTATGATGATGATGACGGACGAGAAGGAGGAGGGGAATCCAATCTATACACTCGTTGAATTTGAATGCATGCTTTGTGAGGAGAACTGTAATCATAGTCGTGCATACGCTTTTCTTATTAAATTTGCACCATGCAATGAATCATTCATGATGAAGAGTTTTTCGAATAAGAATTCGTTATTTGGCAGTGTTTTGATCGCTTTTGTTTTGTCTGATCTGCATGCAACTGACTAGCACCAACCAAGAACCAGAGTGGAGAGGCTGATGAACTATGTATGAGATGACAAAAAGTTATTAGCATTAAATGGTCTGGGTAACCGAGTGTAGGAAAAGATTGGGCAGGTAGAGACATTCAAGTTTAAACCAAACTAGGGACAAAAGTTCACAGTCTACGGTTATCTGGTTCTACGTATTTGTTTGTAGAGTGAAAGTTGTAGTGAATTCAATCAGATGGTTGCATTATTTATCAAAATTAGCTCCACCCCCCATGTGGCCAAGTGCAAAGTGCAGTCATGAAAAGGTGAAGGTGGGAGTCAGGGAGGAAGTATTGTAAAAATGTTGAAAAACGGAACAATGAAATGAAGATGACGTTTTTGGTTGTTTGAAGCGAGATGCGTGGTAATTGTATAAAAGTCGATGTAGCAAGATGGCAAGGTACATATGTTTGTACATGTATGTGTGATTGTCGGAGATAGAGGTGTAAAATTACTAAATGAAGTTTAAGGTTGAAAATTTGAAGCGTCATTTGATCTAAAAAGTAGGGCACACATTCTACAGTACACCACCACCACGACGAGTAATACAATGTAAAAGCTTAAAGCTAGTCATCACATCCGTTGATTATGTTGCCTTGCCCAGCAAATTAGATAGTTGAACAGCATCATCAGCCGTATGTATATGGATTTGTCGAACACATTGACAAATTCTTTGGCACACAAACTTTAACCCATAACTATGCATTCAAGTACAGTGTTAATCTATATATGTCGAAGTAAAGGATAATTAGCTTTTAAATGCGAATACGTATTGGACTCAAAATTTCTTATATTTGCTGCATCTTGCACGGACATGTCTACGAGAGTGTAATAAATTCAACAGTATCTTCTTCTGTTTGTTATCTAAATGGTTGCAAGCATTTAAGGAAAGTAGTAGATCGTGAATCCTGCACAATGGAGTTGTCCTCTCATCTCCTTTATTATTATTAGTGCCATTTTGTCTTCCTTTTGTGGTTGATGCAACGAGGAATGTCTTTACGCATGAATGGCATACACAGTTGCATGCATGTCTTAAAGGAGGATGGCAAAATGATGCATTTCATTCCGTCGTCGTACATACCACCTTGTCGACAGATTTATTTTGTAGTAATTTCCGAAGAGATGACTTACTTATGTAGGTTTGTATGTAAGAGTGTGAGTCATCGGCGTCTCATACAGAATTGTGTAGTTGATTGTGAGGTGGGGCAGAAACCCCAACAAAATCCTAATTATTGCTCTATTAATGACTTGTACTATTTTGTGTGAAGATTGAAACCACGATGAGCAATGAATGTACATATGTATCCATGAACGAGAAATGGATAGAAGTGACATGACATTTTAAAAGAAACCGCAGTCTGATTTAGTGTGTGCGTAGGAGGAAGAATTAGAGTTATCAGATTTTTTTAGCCCATTTTAGTCGTTGCGTGTGAGGCAAGTTGGTTGTAATTGATTGTCTGTTTTAAACAATATGAAACATATCTCAACGGACATAAGTGGTCCGGTGGCATGTTGTTGTTCTACATATTTAATATTGTATTCTGTGCTAACCTAACGTCAGAGAGTGTGCTTCTATAAACGAAATCTAAAAAGCAAAGCTTAGGTGAGACTAAAAGTGCAATAAAAGTAGTTAATCAAGTGAACAATGTTAAATTATAATATTTTTCCACAAGAAGCCCCATTTCATTTTAAACTATCAACAAAAAATGCATATTATGCTAAGAATCAACCATTCCTACAGGAAGACCAACAAGAGATATTTTAAAGCTTAAAGAAGGTAGAAGAATGCAGCACTGTGCATTTTTGCATATTTATAACCAATAATATTAAAGTAAAAATTAAAATTGGCGTTTGGTTATTTATCATAAGCTCTAAGAAAAGAAATTCACTAGCACTGAAACTAGCACTTTTCAAAATGCAACTGATTGCATAGTAATTAGATGATTGATTTCCTTTAGCCTCATCTAAGAAAAATTACCAGCAGGTACGGATGGCAAATAAATTTGACACTGGCCTGACATATCATGTCACATTAGTCCTTGCTCCTATCTCCTTTTCTTCCTGAAGTAATAAATTGTTCTTTTTTTGCATGTTTGTGTCACTACAGATAGAAAAAAACTCTGAGCTTTTTGGAAAAGTTGAATTGTGATGCAACTCAAAGTTTGGATGTTTAGGAATTATAGCAAAGCTATAATTTTGAGATCCACAATCTCAAACAATGCCTCGCATAACATGTAAAAAGAGATATGGAAATAGCATGTGCGAATGCGAACATGCATACGTATTACAAGCAGTTAGATTTCTGCAACATAACTTGTATTATCCTCGTAAACATAACTTTGTTTCTAAATGTGCCAAAAAAGGGCGTACTCTTTCTTTGGGCAAACAATTTAGTATTACTTGTATGGTATTGAACTTATAATGCAATGCGATGGTGTGTGTAGGAACAACCTTGTACAAGTACAAGTACACAATGTAATGCAATGTGTTTTTGCTGTTGAGTCGCATATACGGTCATAATTACTAATGTTGTTTTTTTTTGTTTCTCTCCATTTTAGCTGGAAAAAGCCAACGATCAGTTCATCAAACCGTTGGACGACTTTCGGAAAAAGAAGATTGGCGATGTTAAGGTTAGCGTTGTACGCATTAAAGTAAAATGTTTACAAAACATGTACTCATGATCCCTTTCATAATACAGGATGGGAAGAAAAAGTTTGAAAAACAGACAACAAAATTTTGTCAGAGTCAAGAGCGTTACCTGAACCTCTCAACAAAGAAGCAGGACACAATCCTGCAGGAAGTAAGCCAATTTTGCAATAATATGAAACTCTAGATAGAAGTACGTCCTCGTCATGTAACTCATGTGAGTGCCAACGCGTCAGACAACCAGCAGTGTTATATAAGTTAATGAAAATGTGTCTTTTCATCAACAACTTCTTGACAATTTGTAGCAGATTTAAATTGAGTTTTTGAAAATACTCCTGGAGCAAAAAACAAAGCTTTTCGTTGTTTTCATGGTGCGCAAAATGAAACGGTGGTTGGTTGGTGAAAGCAGGATTTGAAGGATTCAGAGCCCGGGGATATGAAATCAATATTGTGGGCTTCGCACACAAAATCCCTCTCACTCACTCTCTCTCTCTCTGTAGGTTAGATATAAGTAAGTTTAGCACGGAGTTGTAGGTTTGGAGAAACTTGGAAATTTATCCGGGAACTGCCTGAGTCCAAGGAACGCATGACTTTTACTATCCCTCTTTTCATTCCCATTCATCCACTCCATGTGGGCTGATATTGTTCCCTTATGCTCCCATACCTTGCCATAGCCCTGCTCCTGCTGGAACAACCCAGCAGCGTAGACTTTCACTTGCTCGCTCACTATAACAAGTAGAGATTGCGGGAGGAGAAAGTGCAGTTGGATTCCTTATACACTGGCAGTAACAACAACACTCACTACCACACCAGGCAGTGAGAGGAAAGGTGTTTTCTCTATTAATTCTCAGAGAATTTCTCCTCTTTCTCCATTCTGCTTCAAATTGTTTAAAGATAAACATCCATACATCCAAATACAAACTTGGCCAATTCTTCTCGTCATCTTCTTCTCGCTTTATTACTACCACTACTACTACATACTTGGACATACATGTGTAGTTGACTGACTACATTTCATCCCACTCAAGGAGGCACGAAAGAGTAAACAGTCGTGGTGAAAGTGAAGATTTTTTTCTTGCTTCTTCAGATCTACCCACTCATTCAAAACTTATTTTTTTTCTTATCCTCCTCAGCATAAATCTGAATGGGGAAAAAATATCAAAGTCGACCGAGAGTAAGTATTTATAATACAAATAAGTGTTGTATGAGCTATTTCGAGATTCTTACAAAATTGGGTGAGGTAATAAAGTTATTTATATTTTCTATATTAATTATTTGCATTTTTCCTGCATGCAGAAATTTACGTTTGGTATCTATTTGGTCTTCCTATGTACATGTAGATTAATTGAATCATACAGATATGAACCATTATTTACTTCTTGCTTTCTTCCTGTCAAATATGAGTTGATCCATCCAACTTGCTTGGAATCATTGTATTCATTCAGTTGGAGCACACGGGGGCTGACTAAGTTCTTGTTGTGTAGGTTTATAAATAAGATCACATTTCCATCAAGTTACCGGATAATTGGAATTGTATTTTAACCCACTCACCCAATTTGCGTAGTATGTGGTTGCGTACGTACGTACGTACGTACGTATATTGAGTGTGAGTGACAATTCTCGAGCGTAGTATTGCTCTCCTTCAGATGTTATTTTCTAAATTGAATGAATAGAATGCAATCAACAACTCACAACAAATAAACCACTATCATCATCATCATCACCTACCTCTTCATTCTTTCTTCATGCATTCATTCATAAGCCACCCACCTCCGCATTCTATTTTCGCCTCCCTCCTTCGTCAATCTCTCATATGTTGATATGTATGTGAAGACTGGAAATAAATTGGTAAACTATTTCCAAATCAGCTTCCGAAGAAAGTTTTGAATTTGTCTTTCCACTCGGCTTTCTCCATCATCTCCATCTTCCTCAGCCTATTTTTCCAAGCCCATTTCCGTCGCCTCATTTGTGCAAATAATGTGTGTGCGTTTATGTGTCACACACATTGCCGTGCTACCTTGTAGCTTAGCATAATCAGAGAGCCTCGTGTTGTGAAGTAGTTGTTGTCGCAAAGAGTCGAAATTTACCTCCTTATTCTCGCGTGCTTTGTCCAGAATCTCGTTCTTTTTGTTCATGGATATGGAGTAATACTGTGAAGGCTCAAGTTGCTCTAGACAAGTTTACTTGTTTGTTTGCCAAGATTGGATTTGGATTTGTGTTGACATACAAAGTTCTTTGTATTGTACACTCTTTTTTTCATTTGCGATTTACGTCTCAAGTTCTCAAGTATCATCCCTTCTTCATCAGCATATCCACGGCCATCCTTGAAAACAAGTGTGCAACTTATTGCCTACATGTATACCTATATCATATCAGTGTCCTTTTCTGACTATGCATATTATGTGTGTAATTATATGGACAACTTTGTCCCTCCTGTTGTGAGTTGTTGTTGCCCAACATGTACGTCCATACGTACGTTGAGGACGAATTAATTGTTTACTTTCTGCATGGGAAGACGGTTAGTCGGAGTGTTTTGTGAGCTCATCGGCACCTTATTTGTATTAAGTACTTTACCCTTTTCACTTTGATAAGACTTAAAGTAATCTAAGGTTGACAAATTTGTTACAGCCCCATGAACTTGAATGTTACCGAGTAACTGAACAATAGGAAAAGTGTTGGTTTGTTATTGTGACTTTCTGATTTCTTGCATAGACTTGTGTAAACTAATCATACGAGAAAGAATGAAAAGAGAAAGCTAAGGTTGTTTGATTTACTACTTACTCTGCAGTAATAATAATAATAAACATTGACTGAGTGCTCTACCGGTTGTCTGACGTGTTCAATTCAGAAGAGTTAATGCGACCAGTTAGAAAGTAGAGAAGAGAATTATTTTTCTATCTCATCTGATTGAACTTTGGCTCAATGAGTCGCCCAAATGACCAAATGACTGTGTCGTCGGTAAAACTCATTAATGATGGGGACGTTTTAGGCAGATGCTTCTCTCGAAATGGAACAGCGGCACTTCTGCCAAGCCAGCCTCAAATATGTATTTCTTCTTCAAGAGGTTCAAGAGTGTAAAAAGTACGAGTTCGTCGAAACGGTAAGTCGTGTTTTTTAAATTACTATTGGCATAAAATTTCAGAAAAAAACTTGGCATAAACTATACACATCAAACTTGATTCTTGATTACTTTTCTGGTATCTCATATATACATAAGCATAATGTACGTCGTCATCTAAGGGCAATGTCACTGGAGCTTAATTAGCTTATCTGGCTCCATTGATGCTTCCAGAAAGTTTTGATCTTAAAACTTGGCATGCTTAGAATTTGGAATTCATAAGACACGATTTACCCAGGGCACGTTGATACTATGCGTAAATGCCATATAATCTCTCTCTCTTTTGATGGTCTGGAAAAATTGCTGGAGAAATAATAATGGCAAAATATTTGGCATACTACGAAATATCCAATTGTTCTTTGTAATTTGCAATAAAAACAGACCAAGGAGGATGCAGCCTCCGGGTGAGGGGCTTAGTAATAAGCTCTTGTTGTTCGGAACCAAAATGAGGAAAGAAAGTACTAGATGAACCACGGCTGGTACTAGCAGCATTATCTTATATACATGTGCGGGCTTTCCCTCCACATCACCATGCAGTCAGAGTCATATTATTGCGAAAGGCGAATGAGTAATAATGCATCTGTCCTGCTATATGTCGTAGTCGTGGAGGAAAATGGAGAGACGGTGCATTCTGTCTGATCTGGCTGGAGAGAAAATATGTATCCTGACTCTGGCCTACTTTAGATAGATCTGATGGGAAAACAGCACCACACAACATGTAGTGCCATGACAGTCTACGTGTGTGGTACGATATACGCCTGTCATCATTTCTCCTTTTTGTTTATAAAAATGTGCTGATACAGTGCACATTTGCAGACAGAAAGCAGATACATTTATTTTTGGACCCATATTCTTCCGGTATCACCTGCCGCCGGCAATGTTGGTGAAAGCAGAAATAAATTTCAGACGGAGTATATTATTTATTATTATTATATCGCCACCCCGTACAGTTCATAGCAAAAGATGGTTACCTACCATAGGGCAAGAGTTGGGTAATAAGAATTCTGGTGCATTCTGGATGCAACTATGGCCCAATAAATCTTACATCCTTCATCACTAATCATATCCAAAACGAGCACGGGTGCTGCTCTCGCAATATGTTTCATCTCCATTGTCACACCAAACACTTCACGTATTGTGAGGTAAAAACTTTTTGCAAAAACAATGCGCTCGCTAAATACTCGCGTTTGTTTGGTGTGAGAATAGAATGAAAATGCCACCTGGAACTGCTTTGATGAAGAAAGAAGTAAAAACTAAAAGCCGCCGACCTGTTGATAGCATTCGACTGAGGTTCAATGTGTTGGTTACATCGCATTCTCCGCAAACACGAAGAAAGCATTTAATTAAAGAGTTTTCCCAATATGTGCAATATGATGGAAGGGAATTCTAAATATACTCGGACTTTGGTTTGGACCACCACCCATCTGGTGATTCCTGCCGTACCAATTAAGCAAGTGCCCTCCATCACCCTGTGTCATGTGAACTCACATAATCCTCATGAACGGGTGAAGTACAGAATTTCATTTTGTGTGTACCGTCGTGCTGTCACGTATGTATGTCACACATACCTGTTCAGAGACTATGGCACGATATTTGGAAAGCATAGGTTTGCACAAATCTCACTCAACCCGGAATACGTACGTGTGTATGTACTTGTATGCATGTACCTGCACTTTCACCCAGAATGAAAAAGCAAATAATGCGAGTAGAAATGATGAAGCAGGGGCTTAATAATATTGCTCAACTGCATATGTACAAGTGGTGAGATGCGGTGGTTCTCATGCATTTATGTCGTCCTTGTACTGTAAATATAATGGGATTTAATTGTTTGTTTTTCTAATTACAGCTCCTGGGTTTCATGTACAGTTGGCTCACATTCTACCACCAAGGACATGAAGTAGCTACTGATTATAAGCCCTACATGGTCGACCTGCAGAAGAGAATTCAAAACGTTAGTCAAAATTCCATTTATTTCTCATCCAATTCAAATACATGCACGAAATCCAGGTTAAGCTTCACCTCTTTTTCGTACCATTATTCCCCACAATGCGAGACTGTGGAGCCTTCCCGTTCTTATTACTTACATTACGGTATCGGTTTGAGAGTGCCCATACCTTCGTTAAAGGTGAAACCATATCGCTTTCACTGGAGCATAAAATAGCAGTAACACTGGAGAAATATGGCATTCGTAGTGCAATACTCTGCAACGGACAGTTTCGTTATTAAACCACACCGCCGCCGCAGTCGTCGTCGTCGTCGTCGTCGTGCAGTATAGTGTCGCATATCGCGTGACATAAGTTTTGATCTGGATGAAACTCAAGTTGTATTCCCATCCTTTGAGATATGACCGGCTACCATTTGCACTGAATCGAGTTAAAGAATAATTTAGAGGGTATTGATCCATTTAACATCATCACTAACTAACTGGATGTGTAGCGCGATTGATGCCAGGTTCGAAATATAGTGTGATTTGTGAACCTTGCACATTGCACATCATATTTTTGCTGCCAAGGAAAAAATGGGTCTCTGTTTTCTCTCAGACAGTCTTCGACACTAGAAAGGTTGTAACCGAATGAAATTGTAAATGCTTCTCTGTCTTTCTTTCAAAGTCGTGGGCTGGTTAAGCTGTCTGTCTGGCGGATGCTGTGCCGTTGACTTGTTTGTGAGCTACTTATACGTACAGTCTATTAAATTGTTGAGAGATCAAGGAGATTGAATATCCAGTGAAAGTACACACCACGACACCACAGCACACAAAGGCCGACAAAGTGCACAGGGCTTTACTCGTGTTTGTCTCTACCTGGATTTATGAATTTCCTCCTAAATCGTTTCACGCAATAAACTTTACCTAATTCCACACCATACATTCGTTCGTATTGTTAGTTCTACTCCACTTTCATGATCCCAGATTTTCTCACATTGTCCCAGATCTAATTTCGAAAAGGGAAAATTCTATTTGGAAACTTTTAGAAATTAATGAAAAGTTTGCCTGTCTATGGATATAGACTTGCATTGTATCCGTGGGGGTGCATGTCTGATAACCATAGTTGGGCGACAGATCAATAAAAAAAGTATATTTCGCAAGTTTCACAAAAAAGTGAAACATAAGGTACTTTGATATTTTGGTACCGGTGAAAGTGCATTCAGAGTTTTGTTGAATGTTCGTGTGTTATAAGTTTTTTTGGTTTGACAGTAATTCTATAAGTTTTTATCTCTCATTTTTTCATCTTCATCTGACTGATTGTATTTACAGACAGCATTATGAACTCAGGATTCATTTTATTGTTTTTTCCCGATCGAATTCTAAATTCGGGGCAGATGAGAGATTTCACTAAAATAAAAAGAAGACTGTTCCTTTTTGTGTTTCATTTATGTATTTTATACGATTTAAGTAATTGAGCATCTTTGCCAAGCGTGCTGCTTTTTATATCGGCATTGTTTCATGATGGAACACTGATTGAGAGATGTTATGATATTTTTTTATACACAAGGAAATTCTTTCCTTGTATTGGAACCCATTTTTAGTCGCAGTCCGTTGATGGAGGTTTGTTGTCAGTGCCACATTGAATTTTATGTCTCGTTGAGTCTAAAGCAAGCATATTTATATTATCCAAGGAACGAATGACAGACATTCGTTGAATTGATCAACATGCTCTTCTCTTGTCCTCGTGCACTTTTTTGGGTCGCCGCACTATTCAGTCGATATACTTTTCTTCAATAATAAATGATATGTGCATTAATGCCCGCGTGTCCCATAACAAAACCGATTCATAGATTTAGAGATAAAATAACACTGACAGTAATGCAAACTTGGGCTAAAACCTTCTATTGAACTCAAGACGAGTATGTATTCAGGACAAACAAATGAAAGAGACGACAGCAGACGCCAACAAAACCTGGAAGAAAAAAATATCCAGCCCAAGTTCAAGGAATTTCTGGCTGACTGTTTTATTTTCATGTTCATTTCGACGGTCATGTATCAGATTTCCTTTACTCTGGCATTGTCACAACAAGCATTGGAGCTTGATGGAAAAGCAGTAATGGCAGATTCTTTCGTGAATGTCCCTTATTCGGGCCGGCAGTGGGCGTTACATTTTAGTTGCTTATGATGTCCGTTAAATTGGCAAATTAATTTTGCGTGTAAATGGGCGAGAAGGAATGATTAAATTAGTAACCGCGGGTCCATACGTATGTACATACGTCAACTTTACATAAACTTCGTTTGTTGTCAAAATTTCATGCTTTCATTCTCGGAAAGTCTCCTCCCTCCAAGTAAATATGTGTCTCGTACATCGTGTACAATCTTGCCATGCAGAGAGAAAGCAGTGATTTAGTTCATGTTCCAGGAAGAAATAAAGTGATGAGCTCTAGATTAGACATAATGAGATGATTTTCCTTCCACTGTATCATAAATTTATTAAAAGCACGTAATTTCGAGAAGAATTATTACGTACATGGAAATGATTGATTCGAACGAATCACTTACGGCGATAATGTCAGTACTTTGACATGCCCCAGTAAATGTGATTATTAATAAGTACATGCATATGATGAACTTTGCTACTTATTAAAATTTCGCCTACACGATTTTACTGACTTATAATTTTCTTTCAGACAAGAGAAAATTTTGAGACAACCAGAGATCAAACGAAACTGCTAATGAACAAGATGCTGGAGCTTCGCAAATCGGTGAGTTCAATTGACTACACAGAATTAGTAAATTTGTAACATAACATTTCCGCAGCGTCATCGCATATTTTTTTCATGCTGTATAATTAACAGCAAATCAGGGAAGTAACTTCAAAGGATGTCTATCAATTTTGATTTACTTCTTCATTATTACATTACTTACACATCATTTGGCCCAAATTTATTTTCCGTGCAACAAGTATTATTGCATTATTAGTATATAGAGTCGTAGTTTATTAAATTGTTAATCTGATTATATTTAATTTAGGCGTATGGATGAATAATCTAATTATTCGCCCACACGGTATCTCACAGAATTAGCAGGATGAAGGGGATGATGGGGGTAGTTGGCGATACTGATTATTATCCAATTTTGATAAAAGATTGGTGATTCCGTATTCAAGTTTTACTGCGTTTTATTTGAGATCGTTCGTAATATACATTTTTTTGGACGGAGCCATGTTGTTAGAACGATATCGTATCTGACAAGTCGACCAACCCAACACTCCCGCATATACAACAATTGGAATGAGCTTATTTAATGTTTATGGGTTTCATGACGGAATGTAAACCATTGTGTCATGTCATAGTAGAGTCATAACATTAACGACGCAGCAGAAAAACTTGACAAGAGACTCGCACTACTCCCTAGAAAAACCCTTCAAGACAAATTCTTATCACGATTGAGTACTTATGTACGTGCTCTTACACATGCAGTGCCCCTGGTGCTAACTAAGGATAAGTAAAGCAGAGACACTTTTAATAAAAGTGTTGTTTAAAAATATGTATAATCCCTCCGCTTAAAACCCTGTTACGTACAAGTTTTTGGCATTATTAGAGCAAACCTTCAATACGTATTTTGAAAATCAGGGAAACTTGAATGGTTGTTCTCTGCTTGAATACGCTGAGACGTGCTAATATCTCACAAATATCCTGCAATACAATTTTCTTGGTTGGGTGCATATTGTATAGTTCATGACACGCAAATGACACAAAATGCATGCCACTTTGACCATTTTCTTATATTTCTAACCAGCATTCCATATGTAAGTTGCAGGTGGCAAATGAACCTGAAAGACTGGACAAAGTATGATCATGCTTATCTAGCTAGAGCATTACGGCGAGTTACTTGTAGTGTTGTCGTATAATTAACATCTTCCATAAACTAACAGAGCTGTAGTATTTAGAAAAAAAGTTGTAGCTAGCAAGGCTATGTTAGAGATGGATCTGTATCTAGATTTTGGTTGCATTTTTTGCTTCTTGATGATTTTAAATGACGTGTTTATAATTGCAGAAGGACCCTGGAAGCCTTGACAAAATGTATACGCGACAGGGTTACTTGTATCTCATGGAGAAGAGTGAGTCCGAGATGCTTCTTTTTTTATTTTTATTTTTAAATTACTTTTTCGAACCCGAGAATCCTTCTCTTCGCCATTTAAATCACTCTGGTTATTTGTTCTCCTTTCTGCCTTAGCTTGACCTTATTCTCCTTAGCCGAGACTAATACTCATACTTTAAGGTTGGGTTTTAGTAAAGCTCTCTCTATTACTTTGTGTCCTCTTGGGGTTTTTTTCTCGTGGCGGTGGTCCCATTCCACGTTTTGTCCGTGTCCTTATTATCCTTCACGATTTATTATTTATCCAGCAGCAGAAAGTCTTTTTAATCTCTTCTTTTGCCTGCTAATACTAATCCCAAATTTATTACTCTCGGTGGTAATGTACATACATAGATACGTATGCAGAGCTTATCGTGTTTTTGGGTGTGGTGTCGCGTACTCGTCGTATCTGCACTGTTCTATACAATCTCCCTCATTTCTTGGTACATTTCAGTGAACATCTCACAAAATCTATAATAAGTTTGGGTCTTTATTTTATTTTTTCATTATCCTGATGTGATACATGCTATTCATCAGCGGTGACAAATAATATGAATGCATTGAATGGATAGAATTGAGATATGAAAATTAATGGAATCCTTCACTTTACAGAGGCACTCGGAAGCAGTTGGACAAAGTATTACTGCATGTATGAAAAGGGAACGAGGAAATTCTCTATGATTGCATACAATCAGATTTCCGGCAAAATTGTAAGGAGATAATAAACATGTTTTGTGATACACTCAATCTGTAGTTCTGATTGGAGATCGATAAGAATGTACGTCTTTGCATTTCGTGCTATTTGCATAGATTTTGATTAGTCTCAAAGACGAATAATCAAAGGCTAGACTAGATTACAATGTAGATACGAAATGTAAAGTTATACATGTTCATACGTACATGGAACGAGTTTGACAAAACTGTGAATGTATTTTAAAAATTAGACTGGAACTGAAGAAATTATTCTCAAATCATGCATTCGTCGGATGTCCGACTCAATCGAGAAGCGCTTCTGCTTTGATCTAACTGCGGAAAATCGTCCCGGAATTGTTTTCACGTTACAAGCACTTTCAGAAGAGGACCGAAGACTTTGGCTGGACGCCATGGATGGACGAGAGCCGGTAAGTATATGCATATTTAATAACTTAATTCCGCTCCATATTGGTACAATTTCCGGTCTGCATTTCTACTTAACCTTGAGAGAGATACTGCTTGAACCAGTAGTTTTGAACAATTTGCAGAGTTCCATTCTCTAAATTAATGATTTATGCATGTTTCAGACGTACGGCCAACCTGGAAAAGTGTCAAAAGGAGAAGAGACATCCTTAGATGATGTAGGTTTTAGCTTCGTTCAACAATGCATAGCTGAACTGGAGTCTCGAGGATTGGAAGAACAAGGTCTTTATCGCTTGGTTGGAGTCAGCTCCAAAGTTTCAAAGTTGTTAACACTGGGTTTGGAGCGACGTAAAGGAGATAAGCTCATTCTCAATGATCGATGTGAATGGGAGACAAAAACAATTACCAGCGCTCTCAAAACTTATTTTCGAAACTTGCCCGAGCCCTTGATGACGTTTCGTTTCCACGAAGCCTTCATTGCTGCAGCAAGTGAGTCAAAGTTTTCAATCATCTCATTAATTATAAATTGGGTCACAAGACATCACTGCTATTGACTGCCCCCGTATTATTGCACGCATACATAACATGCATGTCGGGGTTCTCATCCTCAGAAGAATATGGACTAAAACTCTAAAACCTCGCTCGTTAGCCAAGATTAAATTGGCTTCATTGGAGTGAAAACCAGTCCAAAATTTAGACTTTAAATGATGGGTGACAGACCGCGCGACTTAATTAACTATGCATGAGACCAAGATTGTCAGGCGTCCTTCACCTTATTCAATTCTTGTTTAATTTCCTTGAGAACACTGATTAAAGTTAAATGATGTATCGAAGTCATTTGCATAATTTGTAGATTAGTTCTACCCATGACAAACTTATTTAACTAACTAACTTTTGTTAATTGACTTTCTTTCTCAATACCAGAAACTTGTTTTTAACGAGTTGCATTCAATTTCGTATCTGATGCAAAAAATCATTCAAGTTCATTCTCGTATGTACTTATTGTTTTATCATCTTTAAGACTTGTCGGTAACACGTCCATGTCCAATTTCATGTGACAACGTCTCACAATTTTATGATCGGTCAAGTTAATATGTGCGACGATGAAATAAAATACGCATTGCAATAACAATGACCATGCAAATTAAGAATTGGAGGGTAACAAGAAACATGATAACAACAAGGGAAAGACCACTCCTCATCATCTCCCAAGTGCCATTGTCTCTCTTGAAAATGTTTTTCAAGTTTTTGTATTGTATCATTCTGTTAATCTTGAATTAATTTATTGTGCCCGTGAAGCATGCTCAATTCTTGAAACATATAGACATGCAACCAAGGTGTGTTCTAGTGATGCCAGAGTAATAAACAATAATAAGTTCAAGTAATCCAACGTATGGGGCCTGATGGGCATGATGTGTACATTTGTGTGTAACATGTAAAATGTAATGTAATCTTTCAAATCATGATGGTGTTTCCATTTACAGAGCAAGACACCCGAACGCAACGAATAGCTGATGTTCACACGTTAATCCATCGGCTGCCACCCCCTCACTTTAGGATTTTAGATACGCTAATTGCTCATTTGCATCAGTAAGGATTTTTCTCATTTATGTAGATACGTAGATATGTATGATTGCGGGTCAAGTTGTTACTCTTTAGAGGTTAACCTTTGATATTTCCCCTGAATTTGTAGCGTTGCTGCAAAGTCTGAGAAAAATAAGATGACTATTAGTAACTTGGGGGTGTGCTTTGGACCTACATTGCTTCGGCCAGAGGAGGAATCAGTCGCTGCTATTATCGACATTAAGTTTTGCAACGTTGTGGTAGAGATTCTGATAGACAGCTATGAAAAGGTGGGTTGACTTGCAGAGTTTATAACTTTTAAGGCCAAATGTTAGAGTTGCAAATGACTTGTTAAAAATTTTCTGACGGTTTGGTTGCAGATTTTTCAATGTAAGCCACCCGCTAGCGAGATGCCAAAAGAGATTTCCTCCCATTTTCACACCACTGTGCCTCAAAACCACAGACCCGCTGTTAGTCCTATTAAACACGTAAGTTTTTGAGAAAGTTTTTGACAAATCAAGAATTATTATTCGTCAAGATTTCGAGTTCACGATAATATAACAAATTTTTACTTTTTATCATGATCTAGACCGTGGTTACGTATAATGACGGGCCAAAGCCAATCTACATGGACCCCAACCCAATGCGCTCGTCTTGGGATAACATTCAGTTGACCTCGAGTGGAATTGGGATTCACCAGTCAACTGCCACCGTCAACTCCCTTCATTCCAGTTCACATTCTAGTTCTTCTAATCAGAGTAGCGGCGAACCACTCCCCCTTTCTTACAGCTTAGGATCTCATTCCTCTATCCCTGAGAGAGATAATAGTAGTCGACTACTCGGCTCGTCCCAAAATAATAGTCGCATCACGGTCGGACTTAATAATTCTGGAGCTTTGGGGGACAGCAAGGGCAACAGCTATTCTCAGCCCTATCTGAACAATGCCGGTAAACATAGTACATTAATAACCTTATTGACATCCAAAAGAAAGTAGTAAATTTGAAAGCAGATGAAGAAATTGCAATTTGTAAAATGCCCCCATTCACACAGAAAGTGAAAAGAAAGACCAAATGCACACATATAGCTGGCATTGAATATTTCGAAATGAATACGCGTTAAATAAAAGCAAACGTATTCAGCCGTACTTTCGTACAAAAGTACGTACATAAATATTTCTTCATCTTTTCACTCGGCTTGTATTGAATCATGTTGGTTAATAAGATAACCTTGACTCATTCCTCAGCGGTATGAAATGAATTATTCTTATCATAACCTGGTTTTCAGGTAGATTTGCTTTTCGCCTTCTTTAAAAAGAATCATTATTAGAACGCAATAGCAACTTGTGAATATGCCATCGTCAACGAGAAATCTTGAAATGCCAATTTCTCAACTCGTCTGAATACCTTCTTGTTAAGTACATAGTACTTCTTTCTTCAGATACCTTGAAATAATGGAATGAATGAAATCCATTCACTCATCTTAATCTGAATCCAATCAGCGAATGCATGTGGGTGACGACTTTTACTTCTTTGTTGCATGCAAGCCCTTTCTCTCGCTCTCTCTCCATCAATTCGTAAGTCAAGACTTGTGTAGAAATTCACAGAATATTGAAATTGACTTTGTGGAAGAAAATTTTCCTTCTCCGGAAAAGTTTGTATTTTTAGCAGAGTGCCTGGTTAGGTTAGGCATTATGGATTGGTTGGTTTGGTAGCAATATGGGAAGGAGAGTCATCACCTCAAACAAATTCCATCAGCCACGACAATAATCGAAAAGTCCTTGGGGAGTGACATTTCCATAAAAAATTATGGCTTTATGTCACACAAAGGATGAAGGTTTCGTAATTTGCATGATTCACTCCGTGTTCATTTTCTTGGTTGAATACATGTGTCCCCAAACTTTAGCTAGTTCGATTAATTATAGCGTGTGACGACGGTGAACGAATATAAAGGAGGTGGTTCCGGAAATTTTTAATGACCATCTCATCGTCTTTCTCACCCTTTGTTATTTTCTTTCCGCTTTTGTGATCTGTGTTGTTACGCAAATCCTAATCCCAGCCCACGCCACGTTAACACAATTCTAATTTGTATTATATCTCTCCAACAATGCTCCTGCTCTTCTCCGCCTCTCCTGCTTTCACTCCCAATAAGATATTCATCCAGAAGTCGTAGAATCTAGACCTTGAAATTTAAAATATAATGGAAACATCTCACCTTTCCATAGTCATTTTGATTACCCTTGGGACGCTGATCTTCAACTTTATAGGCTCGTGTTTGATAGGATGGACATGATCTGTATTATGACCTTATTGAAAGCCAACCAAATCTAGCAACCCAATCTCAAGAATTGGGTTGAATTTTAATGTACAGGCACTAAAATTGGCACGTTCGATCAGATTTTTATTCATTTCTGATGCACAAGCCAAGAATATTATTATGTTTTGTCGTCGTCGGATTTGAATTTCACAGCAGGCTTTATATTGCATTGGTACCTCGGTGGTTTGGGATATTACAAGAGCATGCATGTGGGATCGAAGTATGTTTTTTCGTTACTTTTCACATCCAGTGAAAATCAAAATCAACACGACATAAAATGCACATGTACATGTTGCCCCTCTAGAATAATGAATCGCCGTGACCAAGTGAGTAGGCAAAAATGGCAGATTCGTAGAACTGGGTGAAAATACCAAGTGTAACATGATAAAAATGCAATAATAACTGATACGTTGAGAAAAGTGAGATTCGCGATGGAGTGAAAGCATGATCGAAAAAGCAAAAGTTGAACAAGTCAAAGTAGGTTGCGACCTTTTGACTTTTGATATATTATAGGTCCGACTGTTTCAAGCCCTGTCACACGTTCACCTCTTTCGTCAGAATTTGATGGCAGTGGGTTTTTCACTTGCTTAAGCAGTTAGCTAAAAAGTTTCAACTCTAAATTGCCAGCAGGTTAATTGACACCCAGATTTCGTGTTGGTGAAGGAAATCAGCGAAACCACACACGATGGCATATATACAAATCATCTACAAGGATAGCTATCCTTGGTTTTCAATTTTTGATGGGTTTTATCCAATCTTCGTGACTTTTTGGTTAATGTGGTCGATTTGAAGTATTCAATCTCTATCTTGATTTGCTCCCCACGTATGTTGTGCATACGGTGATATTTATCTAGTTCAAGCCACCCACGCATAGTAAAGTTTCTACTGATTTTAAGGAGGTTGAAAACCTGGGGAAAGCAATATTGCAATAAATATTTATAATGATATATGTAAAGTATGTGCATACAATACAACCACATCAGCGGGGTTAAAAATAATTATTTGCATTAACTTTTCAGTTCCTGAAAGAAACTTATCAAATAGCAGCAGTTCTAGCGAGTCTGTTGCTTCCTGGCCCGGCCACCCACAAAATAGTTTGGGAATCCCTGGCGTTGGTTTGACTCCACCTCAACCGCCGCCCTATCAACCCCCTCCTGAGCATCCCCTCATCAATGGAAGAGATAATTATGGCATAATTTCTCGTAAGTAGTGTTATTACCGACATAATTTCCACTTTCTCAGCTTTCTTTCAGCGTCAAAACTTGAAGCTTAAATAAATTAATGTTATTGTGTCTTATTTAATAGGAGGTCCTACGAAGCCACCGCAGACGTCGATGGCGGGGGCTACTGGTGGTTCTAAGTGGGAGTACGCGTAAGTTTAGTAGCCACAATTTGATGGCTGTGACACAGCAAATTGAAAGTATTCATTTCCGTTTCAGCAGAAAATGTGCTAGGACTTTGTACTCGTGTGTGGCAGAACACGAGGGCGAGGTAAGATTCATGCATTCAGAAGCAGACCAATGGTGGACCGATTGGTAAAATTTCACTGAAACCTTTTCAATTTCAGCTTTCCTTCGAGCCAAATGAAATAATTACAAATGGTAATAATTTAAGCATATCAACGTCAAGATTAAAATCCTAACCAATTAATGAAGCTACTCTACTATACATATTTTACAAAATTTGATTCACAATCAATTATTATGATTATTTTATTATGATTATTTCAGTCCGTCCTTCCGTTGAACCTGGTTGGTTGGAAGGAACGTTACGCGGAAAGACTGGTCTCATACCTGAAAACTATGTGGAAGCATTGCCATAGATCCATTCTATGGCAATGATAATTCTATGACCACGTTAGATAATCCCCTTAGAATCAAACGACTTACCAATATATCTTATCTACCATGTTGGCCCCGATGTACTCGAGAATATTTTCTTAACTGGAATTAATCTTAACTGCATCGCGAGTCCAATCATCAACCAAGATAACGAGCTAACAAATTCAATGATACGCTACAATACACTAATACAACAATTTAGAACCTATGGTATATAATACTCTCAAAATCGGGTTCCACAAGCACGGCGTCGTCAATATCAAGAAACTAATTAATATAGCTCCGTATTAAGCACTATCAAAAGGGTAAAACATTGTTTAAAAATTGCATAGAAAGTCACTTTCATGCATTCATTGGCTTGGCTAAATTATCATAACATAATATTCACAAGTTTAAAAATTTGATGTCTGACAAAACTGGAAAATCTAATTTCTGATGCCAAGAACATTCTTGACTTTATACAATTCTTCTGAGGCTGACAAATTAGTAGTGTGTACACGAAACATGACTATGTCAATTCTGTTTCTGTATGCTATCGTTGTTGTTGGTGTGCCATAATATACAATTAAAATCTAGTGCGAAATGCGATATCTGTAGTCGGGAAGCGTCCTGACTATATGTATCAATTACTCAATATGCAAAGTACTTATTAGTTTTTTGTATTTCAGTTGAAAGGTTCCTTTGATATGCTATATTACATACCTTATTCAGGGTCGCTGTTAATTAGTATAAATAAAATAATTTAAACGACTTTGTTTACATTTATACGAAAGGTTTTCTGGTTTCCTGACAATCGAACAATGTGGTACTGGCTAATTTATTTTTACAATTTACTTGCTTACATTTTGATGTTGATAAATATTTCCAATTAAATTAAATGTCCATTCTGAAAATGATGGTGCTAAATAGTGACAAATATTTAATAGCAGCTTAAATTTCAAATTCTTTTGCATTATGATCGTGCTAGGACGTGACAATATATTTTTTAAATTCACAAATTACTTTTCAGTATACATATATAGTTATGCAGTAGACAAATGAATATGTAAATAAATATATTATTATATAGTTGGAGTGCTTGGAAATGGCTTGATATCTACATAATTGTTGCACGTAGTCTCACTTTTCTCTCAATAAATGTTTACTGTATACATAAGTACATATATATTCTAATACATCTAGAGTGTCATAAATGTTGAACAAGGCTGCCATATACACCCAGACAGTATTTAATTTTTTTGACCATGCCATTTATAGTCCTGTTAAATTCCTTCTATTTTATTCTAATATTGACAATTTTTTAATAACACAATGTCAAGTTCTTTGAGTCCTGTATTTCCTTGTATACCATTTCAGATTTTAAGATTGCCATTCCTCTCGAAAATATTGTGTACATTGCTCTGCACAGGTTGGCATATATAATACCTACATTTACATTACTTAGGATTAGTTGTTTATGTTACATATTGTTCCGTAATTTATTTGTTGTCTACGTTTCTTGAGCATTGTAATCTTTCGTGATGCTCCAGTTTTACTAGTATTATTGACCAGAAGAACTTATGTATATGCTGCAGAGTAGAATAAAAAAGGTGTAGAAAACATTTGTTCTTATATATTAAAACGTACTGTAATTTAATGTTATGTACAATGGGTTTTTAATCATGCTATGAGCTGTGAGAGGAGAGGCATGTGGTGACAGGTGTATGGTATATGCACCCCTAATCCATCATAATGACTCATTAGCGCATAGCTTTGATTGATTCTCCACGAAAATTGCTAACCTCCAACAGCAGCTGTAGATTATATTCTGTTACATAATAGTGGTAATTAAGTATGATATATGATGAGTATTCGTAACGAAAATACGAAAGATTTTTGGGCGACACGTACTTTGTTTTAATGCGCTTCATCGAAAAAGGGAGAGAAACAACTTTGCTTAATTTTATGTAGAAAATAGACAAAAAGGCTATGAATTAAAGGTCGTAAGATTGTTATAATTGTTACAAAAGATTATTATATATATGTCTAATAGAGTTCAATTGATTAATAAATACACTTTTTGATGTGAGTCAAAACTTGATTTGATTATTTTGATTCTGATTTTATTTATTAATGCAAAACCAGTGGAACTTTCACCGTCTCATTTTGCCTCGTCCAGAGGGCTTACTTCTTTCATTGAGAATCTCAATCCTAATAGCATTACTATCTTGAACACTATCTTTGCATGTATCAAATAGTTTTTAACCAGTAATCCTGGCAAATTCTGAACAAGACACGCATCACCATCACGTACATACCATCATCACACCAACCGTCTTAAATCTGATTTTAAATACTCGACACCCAGCATAATGCACCACCGTGCAAACCCGTTTACAAAAATAGATTTAAAATCCGAACGCTTTTTCGGATGTTATGCTAAAGAGAGGAGACAAGTCTACGTGTGTGGAATGGAAAAGGGTGGTCATTAAGGGCCTCATCTTACAGATAACACTGTTTGTCATCTGCATATCACGATACGAATATAAAGACGTTGCATAAGTAACCTTACTGTAAGTATCGTGACACCAATATCTATGTAGGTAATACTACACAAGTATATTATGTATGCCACAATTCTAAGGTGAGGAAAGCTGAAAATAAATGAAATTCCTTACATATTTGGACCTGTAAAATTTCACTTCAAAAATGCAAGTACATGGTCTTGCCAACCAAATTCCAAAATGCATTTTCTAATTGACACAAAAATATCGTCCAAATCTTGCCGATTCAAAATTATGCAGAATTTTCGTAAGTAACTCATTTACTGAAATTCTTAAAGTTCATTCTCCTCCTACTCCTACGTCTCTTTTTACATAATCACAGTTCGGAAGTCTGTCGGGTTAAAACGCTCGGAAGTCTAAGAAGTAAAGGATTCCTTCTGTAAAACATGTGTATGAACCTGCTGCAGACTTATTCAAATGTCATGGCGAGGATTAGGCTCTCGAACTTTGTATACATATCTATGAATGTATCGGTTTGTCTAGATTCAAATCCGGTTATCTCCTCAAACGACATTAATTTTCTGGCTCTGCACAATTCTGGCTCTGTATATACTACAATCTGGCATTTTTACAGAAGACACCTACAATAACTTCCTGCTTTTCTAGTCAACTGATTCAAGATTGGTATCAATCGTATGAGTGGTGCGTGCGTGTGGCTGTTAATTGTACAACTGACTGACACAGTTATTATTGTTATAATTTGTAAATAGTTAAGTAGGTGATGGAAGTGATTGGGCAGCAAGGTTCAATAGCCAGCAATCTAACAGAGTTCAACATTCAATAAATTGTTTAACTACTTAGAATTCGATTCGTATATATTACAGTTACAACAACTTCTTATTCTATTTATCTATAATAAACTTCATTATAATTGTGGCATAGGTGCACATAATTAATACCAAGATCTTAAATATTAGGAGAAAGTGAACTTTACGAACAAAGTAACGAGACACGCTTCCACGAAAAACTGTGGTGAAAGTATCTGCAAAGAATCTCCGCATGTATGTTCTTCAAGTGAGACATACAGTATCACATAAAATACAATTCAGGAAACTATCACAGGATGGATCTGTGAATTGAGTTAAGTGGCAACTAGAAATAATTGTTAATTATTTAGCTTCTCAGATATATAAATATTTCGAGCCTTTTAGATATATTCAACATGATGTTCGTAATTTAAAGCTCAAACAATATCCAATGAAACCTACTACATGGGGTTTTGATTGATCATGCTTTATATTACACATTTTCAGATAACTGCATAACTTGGGATTGCCTTTTTAACTTCAAATCAAAATTTAAAAAACACCTTTTTTGAAAGATCAGTTTCGGAAAAGTGATTTCAGAGATATCATCACATAATACTTGCATATCCTTGACTAAACTCTAATGAAACTTTATTTTCCGAGGTTAATTGTAAGCTGAATATTTACATTGAAAGATAGGTCAGGATAGATCAGGGAAGATTTATAAAAAATGCAAGCAAACATAAAAAAGGTGCCCATGCATGTGTTTGGCAATGTTCACATGGGCCTCAAATTTTTGTAGCAAAATACTACTTGAGAAAATGAAGAAAAATAGATAGGTCCAATCGTGCAAAGTCGTGTTAAGCAGTAATTTTTGACAATATTTCCCCTGGTATATTTACTTACTTTTGAAAATTGAAGCTTTACGTACACGCTTAGAAAAATATACTTAATCCAGAGTAAAACATAAACCTATATCAACCAAAAAATGACTCGATACCAAATCAGATAAACAGTAAGATTTTGTGAAAGGGTAGCCACTTTGACTCGAAATAAAGTGAAGTAGTTCAGGCTCATGCACTTAGTATTAGGTTCACTACGCTCACTTCAAAAAAAGTGGTCATATATTGAGCTCGATATTAAGTGCACATCTTACCCCGTAAAAAGTGAATGTTTTGTTGATGAAAATGTCACTAAAAATAAAGTTAGCAGGCAAACCCGGTCTTTTTAAATGCTTGAAATGTTTATTGACTATAGATTCAATAATAACAACCAAATAATCACAACTTATGTTTAATATTTTTGTACTAATGTAACCTAAATACGGCACATGATTTGTCCGATCAGAGCTTGAACAACCGGCGGAATTGGTGAGTGACTTCCGTTTCCGGCTACTCCATGGGAAATGAATGTCCAGTGATCATACGACTCGAGAGGAAAGGGTAATCCAAGCACTGTAAAAGTTTTGAAACAGGTGTCGAGGGCGACTAGGAATCTTGAACCGCACGGGATTGCCACTTTATCGATGATGACATAAAAGGCATCAAATTTCAATAGCGCTGGAATTCCCAATGCGAGTATGAATGGAGCTTTATTGCGATTTTCGTCTAAGACATCCGCCACATGCGTATTTACCTAATACAAAAATAAAAACGGGCCATTGAATTTATGTGAAGATGTCGATATATGTATGATACATCCTTACCGATTTAAAAATGATGAGACTTTTGAGGCAGTCTAAATCAGAAGCTTTAATTGATTTAAAGTGCTTTGGAGACTTAGAGGCTGCGGGGATTTTTCTTTTTCGTGTTCCACAGATATTTGCCTGCGGCGATTCAGAAAGACTTTGCTGCTCAGTCGACATAGTATATCCGGATGCTGGCGTCGCTTTTCTTCCACATGATGGTAGAACGTATGGCAAAAGGCAGTAGGCGAGTGTCATTTTGTCATCTAAGTATAATGAGAAATCTTAGAGCCCTATATTATCATACTTCAAAATTTTTGTCTAAAATATCGCTCCTCACCATCATCCAAATCGCTAACTCCTTTGAGGACATCTAGCTTCTTCATATAGTTAATGTCGCTTTGATCGGCGTAATCTAACAGCAATTTTGAAACTCGAGGCCACTTGTTATACAAGACAAGAGACAGCTTTGGATGGCGAACATTAAAGTCCTGGACAATCTATAAGGCAAGTCGAATATCAGATACTATTTAAACGACAAAAGGAAAGTTAAAAATAGACCACCCACCATTCCTTCAGTGTCAAAGAGACGAGGCATAATGTTCATAATAGACTCTAAATGAAATTGCCCCGTTTGATGGAGTCGACGAATGTACGTTCGCCTCGAAAACACCGTGTCTTTCATGTGATTTTTTATTTCATTTCCAAAATTGTGCTGCATGTAAGTTAGTATGTCTTCCTCAGGCTCTTGGTCATCTAGAATTAAAGAACTCTGAGAATGCGGTAGATACGTATGATAGTGTTGTAAAATTATTACCATTCTCATTTTCAGAATCCCAAGATTGTAAAACTGCTTCGTCTAGTTTGTACTCCAATACTGTCCTTTTGGAGTTAATTGCCTTTCTTTGATTTTTTAATCTCTCCTCCAAAAACCCAGTAGCGCCACAATATGGAGAGCTAAAAAACCACATCTCATATCCGTTTTGTAATTTTCTCCGATCCCCAAACGTCGGGTATAATTCACCAAATCCTTGGCCAACTGCTCCAAAGCTTCCTTGCTAGGTCTGCAAAATAAATATTGAAACACTAAATGTCTAAACATGGTAAATAAATATAAAACGATGAAGAATATTGTCACAAACCGGGTTCCATGGTGCAAAATGACAGCATCGATAAGAACAGCTGCAATAAGTTGCCTATCTGCTTTAATGATCATTAAATTCTCTGGAATCTTGGTGGCGACGATTTTTTGTAAAGAAGTACATTTCTGAAGGACCTCGTTTATATCCTACATAGAATATGGAAAAAGGACATCAAATGTGAGCGCACTTCACAAGTCATGCATAAATGACTCACTCACAAATCCATAGATATTCCTACGTGACGAAGATTGACGGGGAATTTGTTTTAGATTTGGAGCGGTCCCCGCCTGGCTTGAAACATTCTACATGCAAATTAAAATAAAACGAAATTTGAATTCTACTGAGTATAATAAATTAAATTGATATTGATGGATGAAATAATTACACTGTTCGAATTTGCTACTGCTGCTCCCGGAGAAGCAAATACCTGGTTATCAATTTGTGACCTTACTGGAAAACGGGTTTTAATTGGTACAAGATTTGACGGCACTAAAAGCTCTTGACAATTTTGTGAGTCCAAGACTGGAGCGGGTGGCAACTCCTGAAATATAATTCTTTAAGGGACAGTATTACAACCTCAAATATTGGCAAACTTATCAAACCTTATTTTTAATTTCCTCCTGATTTGAATGCGAGTTGGAGCTTTTTGAACTACATTTTAGTATTGACGGCGACAAGCACAGCCCCCTTTCACGTGCTTCTTTCTCGTCTAAAATGTCATTGGTATCAATTGAAATCCCAGCTTCAGAATGAGTTTCGTCTTGTAGAAATGAACATGAGAAATTTTCAGTCTCAGGAACATTGACGTGAAACGTCTGAAAAATTACATACAAAATTAGTTTTTCGCACTTACTTTATTGTTTAATTTAAATACACCCATAAATTCCAAAATCATTCAGAAATTAATCCAATAAACATCGTACATAGGAAATTAATGACTAAATTAATTTAATTGGAAGGATCATATAACTAGATAAATCATTTAATTTGAACGACTGCATTGAATACAAGGGCAGGAAGAAGGCAAAATCATTTATATCAATAATTCGGACAGATTTTTTATCATTTAGAACATAACTACAAAAATGGTTATCATACTCTCCACTCATTTCGGAAATTATTATACTACAGTCTCCATCTTCCAAAATAATTAATTCAATTCGACCAAACAACTGTTCCTCTTCTCTGCAGCCCAAGTACACAAAACTACCAATCCGATACTCCAACCCGTTTAAAGTTGCCTTGTTAGAAATTTTTACCATTTCCATGTTAAATCTGTCCCTAATTAAATTCTCGAATTCCAAAGACGATACTTGAACTGTGTCGTAAATATCACAATGAAAATCATTAGGGTAGAACTCATTTTTAGACAACAGACGAAAACTTCGGGACAGTTGATGACGATAACAGACTGATTTGGCAATATTTCTAAAATTACAAGTCATATGCGCATTTGTTTTAAAGAATTTATGTTTTGCTTCATATGCCATGCTCCAAAAATAATGAAATGGTCCAATCAATTCAATTGAACTTGCATAATGCAATAAATGGTGATGCTTTGGCTTGAGCAATTTCTTAAATATTCCTTGATATGACATACAAAATTCCGAAATCAATGAGTCTACATATGTCAAACCACCCTTAGAGATACTTGGAGCCATTAGAATATCTAAAATTTCCCTAAACGTGAGAAACAAATTCCACTGAATATTCCCGACTGGGACCAAGTCACCAATTAGCAGAGGTAAAACCGTTATCAAGCATAGTGATTGGGAAGCATTCTGGCCAGATTTGGAATCACCTTTAAGGTAACTTTGTTTAAAAATTGAAGGCTTGGTATTGCAGAAATGTCTACCATAATCGAAGGATTCAATCCTGTGATTTAATTTGTCTAAGGTCATGAATTTTTGACTTATTAAGTGCTGAAGTAAAAGAATAACTAAATCCATACCAACTCCCTCAAATGTATCATGCATGATATCGAACACTACCATCTTCGTAACATGGTGATATGGAAGCCGATTGAGTACTGATTCAAAATTAATTCCTGTTGCTGAAAAGTTATTAGACCTAAGGTCAGCAGTGTAGTTTTCTACCGTACGTAAATTAGCGTCATTTAAAATAAAAGATTTCTGGCATTCTTGTCTATGTAATCTACAACGTCGACATGGAAAATTGGCAGTGAAACCTTCTGTAAACCCTAAAATGGAGTGAAGGCCTAAATTATCCCCAGATAATTGAGCGAGTGCAACTTTCACATTCGTCTTTACCCCGTTAAGGTCAAAATCAATTCCCACATTCCACAGCGAAATTAATTCCTCAACTATTACTCGCACAACTGAATTTGATGAAGAAATTTTCATGTCAGAGCTTTTCACTGATGCTAACAGAAGAATATTATCTAACGATGACAACATAAATTTTGGGAGATCAAGAATCGAATAGTAGAAGTTACTCAGCTTATGCTTGCCAGCCTTCGACCCTAAAGGATTTGCTACCTCAGCCTCGTCAAAGTAAATATTTATAAATATTGTGTTTTTGGGGAAATTCATTTGGCTAAAAAGCAATCCATCGCGGAACGTAGTAAACACATCTCCATTATACGACTTGTTTAATTCAAGAATCTCAAAGAAACCAGGTTTTCGTAAAAGTTGGAGAAGTGACTCCGTAATTGAAATGTACTGCATTGTCACAGGGCGATAAAATTGTCTCTCCGGCGTGCGACGAAAAGCCAGGTCAGAGTCGAGTACAATTGGTTTGGAGTTTATTATCAAGTCGTTTTCAGTCAAGTATTTGTCAAGCTTATACTTCGTATCTAGTCCATCAAAAGTTGAATTTAACAAATCAATTTCCTCGTTCACTGAGTTAACTAAATCATCCATACTGGGATCAAAAAGCTGGGTGCGAACTATATTTTTTATATTATGTAAAATACTATCTACCAATAATTTTATAGAGGAAATAATGTCATCAAACGTGCTCATTGGCACTTTTCCTGATTGTAAGATGCTAGCTAAAACTTTCATCGCAAAATATTTTAAGTCAAGGGCTTGATTTTCCGATCCTGTATCATTCCCTAAATCTTGAACCTCCGCCTCTATTTCATCCACTAATTGATCATCGCTATCCTGAGAGAGAAATATTCTTTTGTGAAGCTTAAAAATATTTCGAAAGTGATTTACAAATGATCGTCTTTCAAATAACCCGTCACAGTGTACACACTTGTGAACGTCACTGTGGCTAAGCCTATGTGTTGTCTTAATATGTACAAGTAATTTAGAAAAATTTACAAAGCCTGTTTTACATAAAAAACATACATAAACTTCTCGCGATTTAGTTGCCTGTAAAGCTCGCAAGATCTTCAAACGTGGACCCATGCTTGGAACGATTTCCTTTAGATTTTCTTCAGTTAATAACAGGTAGCTCTCGTCGTCAATATCATTATCTAGAACACATACAATCAAATATTTAATAATTGGCAGGCTTGGAAAACGGCAAAACTACCTTCAAATTGGGAGAATAAGTTGTCCAAGCCAAGTTGCTGCAACATTCGCCTCAAATCGCCTGAATTGTTTTGGGACATGGTGATCGGCTTAGTCTCCTAAAAACACGAAATGTTATTAAATTAATAAATTGAAGAGTTATTGAACACATTTCAGTCTCAGTCGGGTAATAGCCAGACTTTAAAATACAAAATTCTACTCCAAATGAAAGTTCTTACCTGTGAAGCTACAATCATGCGAAGCTAGAATCGCCTGTGGCTTTGAATAGACGGTTCATCAATTAAAATCTTAAATTATAATCTTGCAAATTGAAAAGTAATTTTAGCAAAATTATTCTTCCTCTGAGAGGAAGGAGAACAGAGAGAATGAGTGAGTAACCCGCTCACAGACTCGTGGTGGTGGATAGCTTTTTTAATGCTCGATTTCGGGCACTACGCGACGTCATATCTAGCTTTGCATACTAGATTTTTAGTATGTGAATTTGAGTGTGCTGGATATCAAGTTCAAAATCATTTCAATTACTATTTATTAAGTAAGCACCTAGTAAACAAGTAAGTTTTCGATGGCCACTTTATAACAGGTATCCGTTTGGGTTAACTTTATTCCAAACTTGCCTGTTGACTAGAAATAGATGTCAGTTTACTTATTATAAATCAATGTAGGAAGTTACCCCGATATTTGATTTGGGAATTTCTAAGCGTGTACTACTGATTACAACTGAATTTTTATATTCATCAATTAATTGTAAACCCCTTATAATTTGTATTTTCATTTTGATTGATTTTAGATACTGTCAATTTGTCTCCAGGAAGTTTCGAAAAGATACGTTCATCATATTGTACGGTTGCATAGATCTTGCAAATTTTGTAGGAAAACATGAGTCCTGTAACGGAGGTACTAATTAACTTGCATTACAAATTGTAATTTACAATTAATTATTCAAGCAGGGGAATTTTGATTTATAATTCATATTTTTGACTAATTTGACAGGCCGTTGAATCTGAGCAGAGCTCTCCTTCCTCCATGATAACATCCCCTGCAGAGGAATACATTTGTTTGAAAGTAAAGGATGTTTTGGGCATGACAACGTTAGACTTGAAGCGATTGGTTTATCCTGTCGACGCCACTTTTAAAAATCTCTTCGACGATACGGCTGAAGCATTTGGAATGAATGTCGAAGATTTTGATCTGACATATCAAGAAAAAATGGACCTGGTAAATTTTGCATGCAAATCAGAATGTGTAAAACTCTTTCTTGGGGAAAAAAATGTGCATTTTTGCCTATACGGACATTACCTGAACAATTTTACTATGTACAAGAAACAATGATAACAATATAATTGGCTTTCCTATTCGGTTTTTGTAAAACGTTACCAACCTTTCACTTCTCCACAAATACTACACAAGATTATTTACTTTACTGATGTACTCGCATTTAATTACGAGTAATTATGAATTTGATAGACTTCAACATGTGTACAAATTGTTTAGTGGTGTCGACAATCATCCAGCTCACTCAAATAAACATAATTAAATTGTTACATGTCGACAAATCCTGTAAAACTGAGAAAGATTACAACTTACAATTTGTTAGTTACAAATCATACGATCGTATAATCACATTGGCCCGACTTTACCAGAAAGGCAAAAAGGCATTGCGGGGAATCGGACATAGCCAGCCGAAATCCACGTGCTTAATAGGCAAAAAGACATTTTTATGACGGCATGCGTTTTTGCACACTCTTATCTAAACTGCACAATTTTTTATTGTATAAAAGTCTAAATCTTTACTAGTCTACATTTAAATACTTATCCTTGTTTTCAGTACGAACTGTCCGCCATGCCATCCCACGAAAGACTGACAGCAGCAAATCTCCTCCCTTCACGACAGAAAGAGTACGCGATTACTTTGTCGACTCGATCGAGGAGGAACAAGAAAAAGTATCTTCAATCCATATCGTGTAATCTGGAAAGGTCCCTAGATTTGCCCGCAAACACCAATGATGACATGCTGCTTGACGATGAAACATCCGAAGGTGATTTGGAAAATTTAATTTTAAAATTTAATTTAAAACGTGCATTTTCGTGAATGGGTTATTTGTATTTAGGAACAGGAGGTAGATTTGTTGGACTAAAGAATAAAACAATGACCTGTTATTTAAACAGCGCCATCCAAGGATTGTGGTTTACTCCACAATTTCGTAATCTAATTTATTCTTTCAACCCACAAAATGGATCGGGAAATAGAAAAAGTATTTGCAGACCGCTGCAACAAATTTTTCTCTTGCTACAGGTGAATATATTTCCGATTTTACAATATATTTCATTAGTATTTAGGATTAAAACTATTTTATTTTTTTCCTATCTCGAATAGTTCTCTGCTCGTGACGCCATTGAAACCGACGAACTGACGAGGACTTTTGGTTGGACGGACCGGGATACGTGGCAGCAACATGATATCCAAGAGCTGTGCTCACTGCTGATGGAAATGCTTACTGCTGAGTTTAAATCGACTCCACAGGACGGGCTGATAAATTCTTTGTATTTTGGTAGCTGTCACCTACTTTGCATACCTTATCAAAGTTTTGGTTGTTCAGGTATAATTGATAATATTAATTATTCAGGTTTCCTCGCAGACTATGTTAAATGTCTCGAGTGCCATAACATCAGACATAAACCGGAAGAATTTTTGATTCTCCCACTTCCTATCAGGAAGCCAAACAGGAAACAATTGGACGAACCGACCCTTGTAAGATGGCAATTTCTAGTTTCTGTAATAACACAACTTTTTATAAGAAGCATAACGTTTATGATACACTTTCGGACCTGTGTAGGAAGAGGCATTGCGAATATTCACTATTCCCGAGCTGCTGGATGGCAATAATCAGTATCGATGCGAAAAGTGTGATAAACCAGTAGATGCTCATAAGGGATATTTGTTCAAGAAGTTGCCTTGCATCTTTAGCGTCCAATTGAAAAGGTTTGATAGTGACTGGGAGACTAATCGGCGTTACAAACTGAACGATAAGTAGGTCATAGCCATTTCTGAAAATTCAAAACATTTCGTGATATGACTCATTTTATTTAAATTCTAGAATCGTTTTTCCGGTGGTAAGAGCTGATATCAGTACTTATTAAGTGCCTACCAATTAATTATAAATACAAAAGTTGCATTGATACGACACCTTGTATTTTATTTATTCGCTTTGTTTTCGTCAATAATATTGTTCTGGCTGTATTACTTATAAGGATAATTTCAATTTACAGGCACTAGACATGAATAAATTCATGGATACTTCAGACTTAAGTGGTCCACAAGATGCGAGCTGCATGAATTTAGAGTTACTTAAACCGTCCCCTAATTCTGACGTAATGCGCACTTCTCACAGCCGCCCTGGTGTCATGTTGACGGACGAAAACCAAACCGTAAGTTACCAGAATGCTTATACAGGGGAGTGAATAATTGGCTAAATATTTTGCAGAGAAAAAGACTGGCAGATAGTTGTAGGGTTGTGGACCTAGGATCCAACAAGGACGACGTAATTAAAACCCTTCAGCAAATGAAAAACGAAAACGGTCCAAATGTATATGAATTATTCGGCGTCTTTGTTCACCGCGGTGGCCTTGCTGGAGGTCACTATTACGCTTACATACGCGATTTTGAGACATACAGATGGTATCGGTGTGATGACGCCATGGTTAGAAAGGTACATTTGACATGCATGCATACGCACATGCATATTTAACTTGTATTCCTATAATTCTATTTATTAGTCACTTTTTACTTATTCGGTCAGGCCCGAGTTGAAGATGTCACAGCCACGTTTGGAGATCCTGAGGACACTGAACAAATGTCCGCATATATGCTCATGTATCGTCGATATGATGAGGACAGTGTTTTACCTTTCCTCCGGAGTGAACTACCTCCGCATATTTTGGTATAATTTGTCATGAACATAATTAAAAGAACTCTTCATCCGTGATTCAATGACAGTGATGTTATAACATTCCCATAGGAAACATTAGACGTAATAGTGGAAAATGATAGGAAATCAAAGGAAGACGATGTCATTGAGAAAAAGACTATTAAAATGATTGTCAAGTACAAGCAGTACAACAGTTGGGAAATTAGCTCAGAAGAGCTGGTGCTACCAAAATTTGAATCAATTGGTGATATTTCTCATTTCATATTTAAGGTATGCATATTCATGTAAAAGTGTACAACTTTCATTTGCGAATACGAGTTATTAGAGTACTGATTTGTAATTCATTTTGTTGATATTTCCAGAAATTCTATCCGGACTTTCCTCTTCCTCCCTCAGACCACACCCGTGTATGTAGATATGATCTTGACTTGGGAATAATCGAGAACAGTTTTGACGACAGCACACAAAATTTGTCGTATTGCTTAAAAAATCCACCTCCGAAAGCTAAAAACGAGGCCCTCATACTGGAAGTCAAAAATGAAACTGATGTGTTTCCACGATACTGCGCTGAAGGTAGACTTATATAATAAAAGTTGTAGCACAATGTAATTATTTGCTAGATTCTATAAAACTGTATATTTTCTAGACTTGGTCTTTATCACTTTGCTCACGGATTCCGCTTTAGCCAAAGTTGACAAATGGGAAGAATTTCATGCAGAGACAGGCCATACAATTGGCGATTTAAGGAGAAATATCTGTTCCAAATGGAAAATAGCTGAGGCTTCTTTCCACATGGCAGTTCAATGGAACGATACAATTCTTCCTTTAAGCGATGATGCTATTATCTTAAGCTCTTTAGTCAGCTCAAAAATTAATCGGGTAGGACTGTTCGATTCAATTTCTTTGATAACAATGTTTGCATACGTTAATTTTATTTGTAGCTATATGTGGAAGCCATATCAAACTCGGACGTCCCAAAATGGCTCGAATTTGTGACCTGCTTTGTAAATATTACAGAGTACAATATTCAAGTGCAACACCTGCCGTCGTCTTATCCTGGAGGTATTTAAATACCTCCGTATATAACTAATCGTTAAATTGAAAATCGCTTCTTTTACCTCATAGTAATATTTATTTGTTTTTCCTAAAATTCCAGGGAATGATTTCTTCAACTTAAACGGGATAGGTAAGTATTTAGTAATATGTGCAAATTATTTCCACCATTTATGTAAGTTTACAAAATAATTTTTTCCTATTAAAATTTAGACATTCGATTAGAAGTTGCACTCTCTGGACCAGATGAGTCAATTCGAATGTTGACAAAGAATACTGCTAACGGAGAGAGTAACGTTAAAATCTTATCACTAGGATCTGACACTTTGAAGTATTTCAAAAATTTTGTTTTCTCGTTAGTCTTCACTATTTGCCAACTTTCCATGTATCATTTCATGTGTACATTTGTTTACAGTTGTTCCCCTGAGCTAAAGGAAGACATCATTGAAGCTGATAAGGTATGAACAAATTACGTTACGTGCACATATAATCTGCTTTCTAATTTATGAGTAGGATGTATCATAACATGATCGATAATGCTGATTTTAAAATTCTCCTAGGACAAGGCTTTGGCAATCGACAGTAGAATTGTGGAAACCACAATAATCACTGTTCATACGTCTTTAAGTGCAATGGAAGAAGATTTAATACGTATGTGGTCCTTAAATTAAATTGCATATAAAGTTATTGGCAGTACGACAAATGACACACATATATGCTTTAAATTTGTTTATAGCCATTGTTATCAATGTGGATTGTAGAGCGACTCTATCCACCCTCAGTAGAGCTCTGCAGGAAATATTTTCCGTCCCGGAAACCTCATATTGCTTTTTTAGTTTGAGAGATAACGAGGAGACTGAGATCCAGGATTATAGTCGTAGAATTCAGAACGTCCTTTGCCAAGGTGACAATTTGAGAGTTCGATTCTGCAGACGTTTGCAGCCATACGAAGGTCGTGTTTCAGTCTTTCTATTAAAAATTGATGATGTGACGGTAAGTTCCATTTATGCATTATGCATAAAGAGTGGAAACTGTTGCATCATTAAACCTGACGTTAATTAAATTGTTTCAGGATCCCGGAAACGGCAATTACTTGGGTGATGCTATACTCCATCCAAATATGAGTCTGCAAGAAGCAAAGCGGGCTGTGTTGGAACAATGTTCAGATTTTCTGCCTGAAAACATTGCATTGTAATCAGTTTGTTGATCTATCCGTATTGTCATGTTGGTAAAATATATAATTTGTATGAAAATGGTTATTATTAATTCCCGTAGCGATAGTTGGCGATTAAGGAGGAAACTCGCTTCAAATAGAGTGTCAAAGATATTTAGGGACGACATCCTTGTATCGGAATGGTTAACTCGGATTAGTGATGCTGAGATTTATTTACAAGTGAGTATATGTGTATATGTGTCATATTCTAATATCACGAAAATTTGTTCCAATTATTGGACATGTTGTACTTCAGATTCTAGAGGACAAAGCTCCTATCTTGGACAGGGACACGTTTTCAGTCATGGCAAGAATTTGGAGTCCAAGCGAATGGACATTAAATCCTCCGTTCGAATTTACAGTTTTCCATGACCATAGTCATGAGGTTCCTGCCTTACTATTTGAAAAGGTAATTATCAGCTGGTAGAGTATTCGTTGTGAGCTAAATTATATATACATACACAATTTGGAATTTGAATGTTTAATTCTTCTGTAGCTTCTCGAGTTGACGGACATACCAGCAGACTCAATAGAGATTGCCAGAGTCGAGCTACCATATCCTTTTGCCCTGAACCCAGTCGCCATACAAGAACTTGATTGGTTTGCCCCTGGGTCTTCGACAAAACCTATGTATTTATATAATGACGAGTTGGTTATTTTTGCACGGTAAATTACATATCAAATATCTGATCGTTCTTATGAAAGGTTTATACTTAATATTTTAATTTTAAATCCAGAAGCAAGTCCTGCATCCCAAGACAGTGGACGCTAGAGGAAGAAACCATGTACCGGAAAGAATATGAACGAGAGCAGTACGGCACCCCACCAAAACGTGAGACGGGGATCAGAATAAATCTTAATTTATCAAAGTCACCAAGTTCTCGTTGAACCATTCTCCTACATACGTCATGTCCAGTATGTAAATATATTCGGATACTAACTATTGCAGTATTGTGAAATAATTTTAGCAATAATACAAACAGCCTCAAAGTCTAGCGTAATGTGGTGTTCTGGTGTTGTTATCAGGAATAGGAAAAATCACACTTGTGGTTTTATGTGAGCTCAGTAGTGGTGCATATGTATATTCGTAGATAGATAACCGGAACTGGTGGTATATGTACATAGCTTTAAATTAAATTGTATGTTTTACTATACTTACTATGGAATATAGGACTATTCCTATTTCTATCTTCTTGTACATGTTTTGCTTTCTTAAGCTGTAAATTTTTATCTAGTAATAAATTTCTTGTGTTAAATTGTGTCTGTCTATTTTACGTACGCACATATTTGAATGCATAAATTGTAGTTAGCTGAAATAAGTGAAGCTTTGGTAGAAAGAAAGTGATGATCTATTTTAAAAAGTTCACCAATTGAGGTTGAGAAAACTTGGTATATTCGGAAAAAAACTAATTGTTAGTGACTAACAATTAGTCACTTTTATATCGTGGACATGGACGAAGAACCAATTTACGCCACGATCGACAAACCTCGCCCCGTCACTACAGTCAATCTCGCCCGACGAAGTGTCATTCAATACTATGCCGTCCCAGCCACACCCTCCACTCTTTCCTCCATGGAAGAACTGGACCGAATTTCCCTCTCCACCTCAAACGGGTCCCTGTCCAACAGTGGCGAACCGTCTCTAAGATCGTCACCTGTCACATTTTCGTCACAACCTCCTCCCAATGTCCCTGCCCCAACTAGTCTCCGAAGAAGGAACTACGAGGTCAGGGATGACTTCGCAACGATAGCTCGATGCGAACAGCAATTTGAAAAGCCGTTAATAGTGATCCAAGCACCACCACGACGGATATCGACTGGTAATTATAACGAATATCATTAAATAAACTGTATCAAACGAAACGTAACGAAGGGGTGACATTACGTCGGACAGACTAGAAATTTCCATAATGGGGTTTTCACCCTTTAATAAATGCCCAGCAATCCAACCTGCATTCTGAATTAGCTAATGACATTTTGATGTTAAAATGCCACACATGAATGTATACTATTACATACTTGCTACAATAAAATGCATGCACAATCAAGTTTAAAACTGGAAAACGCCTCTTATATCAGGGCTGAAGAATTGCATGAAACTTATGCCCATCACATATTTATGTAGATTGTGTAAACTCATATCATGACATGACATGAGATATCAGTCAGATTGTACAAAAAGTATACAGCTCAATTGGAATAGTTGTGTAAATAGAGATTAACAGTGGGAATAACTGTGTTGTAAATTAAAACTTTGTTCTCATTTGCTCCTAGGTACTTTGCCCGAGATGAGTGATTCTGGTTATAATTTGGGAAATGGTCCCTCTACTCCAGCAACAAGTCCAGCTGCTCTTCTTCAGCCTAATAATGGCTCATCGTCATTTTTTCAAATAAATAATTCCTCCCGAAATTCCCAATCCGGCGATATGACTTCCCCCCGGTCAAAATCTCCAAGACCAAATACGCCAAAATCAGCGGATAAGGAGGAATCGTTTTGGGACAAGTTTGGAACTACGGCACGGAAGAAGAAGATTAAAGAAGGTGTGATTACTTGTTATTTAAATAAATTTTAAGAAAACCATTTAGTTTTGTTTATACTTATATACTCGATAATACGAATTACAGTTCAAGTTGTGGAGGAGGAAGGAAAAAGGGCGATTGATTTGCCAGGTAGTCCATCACCGTTTGACATTTCGCCGGAGGATTATAATTTAGGTGAGGTTTCTAATTTTGGTTGTACTGCAATTATTTTGGTGCGTTTTTTTCTATAGCATTTTGTATTTTCTTGTAATAAACAGCGGACGGAGAAGAACGATTGCTAATTGAACGGAGAAGTTATGATGACCCAAAACTAGGACACTTAATAAAACTTTTGACGGATTGGATAAACGATGAGTTAGCAGATCAGCGAATTATTGTTATGAAAATTGACGATGATTTGTATGATGGTCAAGTTCTGCAGAAATTACTTGGTAATTGTTTATCTATTATGTCCCAAATTGTGTGCATGCAATGCTACAACAGAAGATAATTGTTTACAGAGAAACTGACCGGACAGAAACTCGAAGTTCCAGAAGTGTCACAATCAGAGGAAGGACAACGTCATAAGTTGGAAGTTGTTTTGGGTGCTGCAAACCAAATTATAGGGCTAAATCGATGGTCAGCAGAAAAATGGAGTGTCGAATCCATCCATTCCAAGAGTTTGGTTGCCATCTTGTACTTGTTGGTGCATCTTGCTAGACATTTCCGAGCTCCGTTGAGACTTCCGGAAAATGTCAATGTGGAAACGATTGTTATCAAGGTATGGAATTACATACAACAAGTTACTGATCAGTAGATTGCAAACTGCATACACTAAATTTGTCCTCTTAACCTTGGTAGAAACGCAACGGTAAACTAGAGTATCGTAGAGTGACGGAGGAATTGACTTCGACTTATGATGAATTAGGGATGAGGTGTGAAAGAGATGCCTTTGATGCTTTACTTGATACTGCTCCAGATAAACTTCAAGTTGTTAAGAAGGTAACACATTCGAAATTAAGTAAATAAAATGACAAAGTTCATATGAAATGTCTTATTTTTAACAGAGCCTGCTTAGCTTTGTTAATAAGCAATTGATCAAAGTCAATCTGAAGGTTTATGAAATTGAGTCCCAATTTCACGATGGTGTTTATCTCGTTCTACTCATGGGACTTTTAGAGAATTACTTTGTCCCCCTCGGTGACTTTCATTTGACACCCAAGGATTTTGAACAAAAAGTCTTCAACGTGGCATTTTCGTTTGAATTAATGCAAGATGCGGGTTTGTCTAAACCTAAAGCACGCCCTGAAGGTGTGAAAATAGCCCATATATGAAAGTTTCACAATTTAAATTTTACAAAAATCCTATATTTTGAAATTCAGATATAGTTAATTCGGATTTCAAGTCTACCCTGCGCGTCCTTTACAACTTATTCGCAAAGTACAGAAATGCTGAATAGTGGCTGATTGACGGACGACCTATCAAAGCAGAACGAATAGATAATTTTATGCTCTAAATAATTTGACCATAGTGTATTCATTAATCTGTCCATCCATTAATAAAATGCGACTTGTACATTTAAGAAAATAATAAATTATTTTTTAATTCTGGATACTATCCTGTCTGTCAAATGTACATAATTATTAATAAAAGGACCCATGTAAACCCATTGATTGAATGGCATATCCTCTCATTACTACTGTGAAACGGTCTAGGACTTTAGTCTTACATATTAGCTTCACCAAGCTTTTGACAATCAGATAATACAAATATTATACAATTAATCATTTTCATAATTTTTATAAGTCGGAAACTACACTAACTCTCTTGGAAATTTGTGGATTTTTATAAATGGTAAAATTTTGGCGTCCGTATGGAATTTATTTTCGTTCCGTATTGGTGTTCATTGTATGGATGCATTTTTTTGATGAATAATGCTTCTTTAATTTTTCGATGAAAACGATAGTGAAAATTACCAATGTTTCCTTGTATGTACTGGACGGCTCTACTTTCTTCTCTTTCTTTGTGGATTATTAATAAACGGCAATGGTCAGAGCTGCTTTTCGAAGAGAAAAGTTAATTTACTGAGATTATTAGAAAAATTTCATGCAGACGAAAATATGGAAACATTTTATGCTACGACAACTGACCAAACTCTACGTCACATTTTCCCATCTTGGAGGAAGATGGCAAACGAGTGGAGAAAGTGGAGAAAAGCTGGGACAGTTAGAACCGCTGTCGGACTGATAGTTGCCCCTACCGAAGTACCGAAAGTTGGTTCGGGTATTGGAGTCGGTTGGTATACACAAGTTGATCGTGGTATTGGTATGGTATGGGACCTTAAAAGCTATACAAAAACGCTGGGAAAATCGATAAACCTTGTTCTGACGTCTTTTCATTTACATTGGGCCGAGAGAGTGAAGATTGTTCATAAAGTGCTCCGGCTACTGCATCACTTTGTTAGCTCTCTTAAATGAAATTCCACTAATACGTCGAATACTACTGAAATTAGCACTTTGTATTTGCACAGGTACAAGTTTGATAAGCACTTAGCACATAATAATAAAGTGTCCCAGTTACGATTAAAATAATGAGGAATTTATTTAGAGCCACCATTATGTAAAATTTATGTGCCATTTTTCAGGATGTACTTAGCATAAGTTAGAAAAAAAATTATTCTAGAAATATAAATGATAAAATCTGGATATTCTTAAAAATAAAATACTTGGCTGCAAGGAAATAACTAGAAATAGGTACAAAATTCTGAAATTGTTTACATTGTCGATTGAGAATCTCAATTTGAGATTGTATTGATTGGTCAGTTTTTCAAGTGCACTTTCTCCATACCAATTTACCTCAGCTAGAACTCACTCGATTCATAATTCCTCCACTAATCCCCACTCAATATGACATATTGTTTTAATTTATTAACATGCACGATGCTATTATTTAATAAAAAGAAAATAAGTGAATTCATTTTGCTTGAATTTCAATTAACACTTTTGCCAACCCCAAAGTTCAAAGCAAGACATGCGATGGCAATTGTCACCATTGTGCAACTTATCGAGCTTGTTGCTTACACCTCCCATCCATCCGAACATACAGAATACTCGAAAGACAATCGTATACTTGCGTAATCTCATGAAAAGTGGAGAACGCGGCGATGCGTAACCAACAATCCTGTCCTGTTACTCGATACAATAACAATGAGAGCATAATTTGATTACCTTTTGAAAGGAAAAGTTGCTCTAACATAAGAACAAACTAACTACATTTATACAACGATGAGAAGAACAACCGCACAATGTTACATAGACATCCAACCAGTCATTAAGTCCTCAGACAATAGTCGATGTCACAAACACTTTGACAGGATGAACCACCTTACCTTTCACCTTTATCTATCCTCATGCTGGTAGACAATTGAATATAAATATTCTGTTACGTTTGTTCCTAAAAATCGTTCAGTTTCGATACAAATTGTTTCTTTTCCATGAAAAACTGTTAAGTAAAACTATCTATAAAATCGTCACTCACATTTTTATGAAAATCATGCAAATTTTTACATGCACAAGCGAAATTCTCAATTTTTGTCAACTTTTGATTCAAATAACAAAGAAAGTAATACCAATCAGTTGACCTGACCAACGAAATAATGATGAGCCAACATTTCTCCACTGATAATTATGTAATGCCACATTTAACACTCGAATCAAACTGACTTGAAAACTTTGTTGAAGAATTCTGTAAGTGAACAAAATGGAAACGAAGTAACACCAAATCACTTTTTTTAGTTGTTCAACTCCTTCATGAAAGTACATTCTAATACATTTTCTCTTCTTCTTCTGGTGCGTGTTTTCTGGTAACGTGTCGAAAAAGAGACCCGCAGAGCAGGCCAGAGTAGCAGCGAAGGAGAACTCGGGAACTCTGAAAAGAAGGGTTAGTTCATTCTCGTCTCTCTTACGGGACAGACGTCGACTGCTCTTTACAAGCGAATTGTGTAAAGTGAGAGAAGTTGTAAAGTTCGACAAGATCTTTTTTTCACTGGTTTTTTTTTCACTCGATGAAACCAGCGTTGTCTTACTAACTAGTAAATAGCACACATTATTGCTTGAGTTCGTCTCTAGTTATTTCGTAAGTAAATAGTAAAGTTAAAAGTCGTATTGTCTCATCACAACATATTTTTTCTCAGAGCACGAACTGCATGGTTTTTCGAACATGCGATATGTGCCTCTGCATCGTCTAAAACTGGTAAACCGTTCTGGATGTGTGAAGTTAACGCATCCGTGAAGTATTTTAATAGTAAAATTGTTGAATTAGAATAAAGCGTGTGTAAAGGATTGGAGTAAAAAGAAAGCATCGATATGAGATTGGACAATTTTGACTTGTTTTTGTTGTCCTTCTTGGATGCAATTGATTCCAATTGATCCAACTTCACGATATCATCAGATTAATTGAGATTACTAGTCTGTAGTTCCATTAATTAGTGAAAGGTGAAAGCGACGGGAAATTAAGTGAAATGATAAATACGGGGAAAAGTAAATATCCAGTTTGGATTGTCATCTTGGGTAAGTTTGCAATGTTTACTTGATTATTTATACAATGTATGCATGATAATAAATCCATCCTGAGCCAGTTGTAATTATGATACAAAAGTCTGAATATGTTGGCACATTCTATGAACTAGTTATCAAGCGGATAATGACTTCATTACCTGAGAAACTTAGACTGCATAGCCTTTTTGACCAAGCTGTACATATTTATTTGTGTAGTCTTTAAACTCACTAAAAATTTTTGAGACACATTTTTGTGTCTACGAGTTTTGCAAACCATGTCACACATACACATTACTGTCTCCTTTTATCCATCACTCAACCTAATAAGTTGCTCTTATTGTTGATCGAGTCTATCCGAAATTTGGATCAAGACGAAAACAACACGCTTTTTTTCATCGTGTCAAAATTACGACGCTTGTAGATAAATCTACATACTAATGAGGCCTGTAGTCTGTAACGACCATTTTGCGGATAGACTTGCACTCAAATATAAATATATACGTACGTACGTATTCTTGTTCTAATGTTTGTACTCATAGGAATGAAGAAGGCTGAAAAACAATAGAACCAAAGGGCGATTGCATGAATGGTGTAGAGTAGCCATTAGGAAATTGCATAAATTTTTATGCAAATTTTAATTGAGAATTTCCGACAACCTCGAAATAGATCTGTATTGCATGCATGGTTCAAAGTCTCACCAGCTTAACAGAGATGATAGTTGTTACTCCGAAGTAGAATTTCTACCGCTTACTTGTAGTCCGCGTTCTTTCCTATCATCTATCATTAGCTAAATAGCCTTTTTTGCACCACATCACATAAAAGTTCCAATAGTGCCAGGCCAGCTGAATTCTGCATTTGCAAATATTTAGAGGAATTCTTAATGAGACCAATTCATCTCGTTTTGCTCGAGCTGTATGCTGATCTCAATTCCCACCCAGCTCTTCTATAAACATCATGAGTCTATTTCTTTCGACGTCTTCTTCTTCTTCTATTTCACCAGGATTTTTTCGAGCTGAGAATATACTTACGAATTCACTGACTGTCATTCAATTCAATCCATTCACAAATTATGCCGACAGTGAACGAAAACCATTCTTCAACTGTTTCTCACAATTTACCATAGAATAGCCCATTTATGTCAAGAATGAAATACCACAATTTTTACAGAGAAGACTTATTCACAAGAGAATTGCAATGGAGCTTGTCCACAGATAATCATGGAAAAAGCTCAGACTAGCAAATAATTTTGAGTGATATGTGTGCAAAAACTCATCATCATGACCGATTTGTTTGTTTACAACTTGCATAAACCGACTAACACACCGGAAGCAGTTTAGGTAACGTAAATTATTTTATGAAAGTGTATATTCACTGCTGTATTTTTGGAATTGATCAAGAAAATTGTGATGGCTGCCTGCAGAGAAATTGCAGAAATGAACGGGCATCCGGGCATGGCCACCTACTTATAATGTCGGTCTTGCCGATTTTTTTGGTTCGGTTTGGTTAGTGAAGCGTGTGGCATGATGCTGTGGAATGTCTTTGTTGTATTTTTAATACCTATTCGATCCACGTTGTTGGCATGAGGAGAAGATAAAGAAAGTGAGAAGTGAAGAGTGGACGCATTCCTATTCAAGCGACGACTTAATGACATTTTCTTTTGAAGCCAGAGTGCAAACGGTGACATGACATGACATCGGGTCGCTCGTTGATGAGAAATACGTACGAACGAACGAATTATTTTTCTCGCAGAAATATATTTCTTTATTACATACTTGAGAAAACGGTTGAAGCAAATGGTTGGAATTGTCCGACTGGAGAAAAAATCGTGAGGAAATGTAGTCGGAATTCGTTTTCCTGTGGAAATCATCCTTCTGTCTTTCGAATTTTGCATAAGGAATTTCTCATTAACAATTCATAGTATTGTAAAAAATGTATAGGAAATTGAGTCCGTGTTTTTCTGTAAACTTCAGTGATTTAGTAGGATTTTTGTGATGTTTTTTTTGTAAAAAAAACAGTCTTTATGTGTATTCTTTGTGTGATCACGTAGGTCATCCATGTGTTGCTTAATCCTGCACAGAATTTAAAAAAAAAACGATCTATTTATTTGAAATTGAAGGCTGAAACCATTTCTGTTTTTTAATACCTTACAATTTATCGCCACGTTTTGTTTACTCATCTTCAAAATACATATCTGATATTTTGGCTTGAAATGTAACCAAAGATCTGCTTTATTTTGCCACTGGTTGACGGATGTGCAAGTGGTAAAGTAGACGACGACGACGTTTCATCTTAGACACACATTACCCCTGAAATATACCATGTTTTTTGTTGTTTTAAGAAGCTGGTCTCAGGTTCTGAGCAATTTGTAGTGAATGATGATGGCAAAAATAGGTGACAAGCAAAATAGCGACACATTTCCTCTGGGAAATAGATATACACGTGTGGTTTTTAACGAATGCTTGAAGAATGGTTGTTTTTTTAGCCAACTTTATGCATTACATATATCTTTATCATATCGTTGCAAAATGAAGAATTTTGATTTCACACACAAAAAAGTGCAAAAGTCCACAAACGACTTGACCGGATTAGAAGATCATTTCGGCCTGACATGGCGATAAATCAGGGTGAATTTAATGGTCATTTCGATTTACAGCTCATCATCGCGCTACTACAATATACTCTGCGTACGAAAACACATACTTTGGAGAAGCATGGAATGTTGTTTACGAAACAATGACCTTTGATGTTTCGAAAATAATACAAATCTTATTTCAAAGCAAATAATAAAGGAGTCAAGCATTCGTATTTTGTTTGGTCAGCATGGAAAAATACTTCTCCACGTAATATGATCCTCTATCTCTGCCATCACAACTTATGCTATCTTCAACAATTTGCATGTAACTTTGTACGTAATCTTATTCTCTCTTAGAGCCATGTCTCTTCTAGCAGTAGAGTTTGATGAACAGGTGAACCGGATTTCTTATTGACATCATCATAAAGCGAATAAAATGCAAAATATTTATGTTTTATATGCTTTTCTCAGCAACATTTGTGTATGTGAATAGAATACATTTCAAAAAGTAAATCAGCAAAGTGAACTCTATTATATTGTCAGCTAACCCGATCGCGGTATGACATATGAGCTTGTCACGTATTCAAAAAACAAGATTTTTAATACATTTTCCTTTTATTCCATTTACCATTATTACAAATCGCATCACTCAAAAGCCACCAAATTGCTTGCAAAAGGAAAATGCTTTCACGTAAATTGAGTAAGCCAGAGACGGATTTGTAATGTAAATTAGACATGATTTTTGCTTTTAAGAATAAATGTTATTGTTGGCAAAAGTAAATACTTGCTCATAACATGCACGAATGAAAGCATGAAATTGTATGTAATGCTAGACTACTAGTTCCATGGCTTACAAAATACATAGAAAATCGGTCAATGTTTTGGCTGAGTTGGAACAGTTTGAGCTGGCCTTTGCACTTGGTAACAAATTTTCAAAGTAGTGTCATATATCGCTGGGCGGATTTATTATATTGGTTTTGTCGATAGTGTCGACTCGATACGTGATTTCAAGATACTATGTTCGTCTCCATAAAATCAGTCTACTAAATTGAATATTTAATTAGACACGGCCAAATACAGACTGACGAAATGGTACGTACATACATTCATCGATCGCTCTTGAACTTGAGTTTTTTTTATCTAATTCATTAGCAAAAAATGGACATGCAAACGTTCTGAAAATAAGTAAATCAGTCGCAACTAATCCATCTACCAGATAGTCTAACCAGTCCGTAAAGTTTATTATCCAATCTTTTATAAGTGCAAGTTGAGCACGTTTGATGAAAATACTGCCGGTGGATATGTTGTCTACAACGCAGTTTTATTTTCTGCCATACATTATGGATTTCGCAGCTAAAAACATAAAGGCAAACGCAAAAGTCATCAGTTATGGCTAGAGGTTAAAAAAAACACTCGTACGAGACATTAATGATTCTATTTTTTCGGACACTATCGACCAACGTATGCTTGGTCCAAAACTAAAAATGTGTATGTGATAAATACAAGAAGCCTTTCATTATCTAGACCCTCAATTTGTTTTTTACTCGTGAGTCACGTCTACTTCTGGGAATGGATGAGCATTTTCATCATACAAATCAATGCATAGGATGAAACCAAAAGGGCTTTCGACTCTGCCCATACAAGTTAGTTATACAACGAACTGTGTGATAATCTATCTGTAATAATATCGTTTTGAAAAGAGGGAGCACATAACCTTCTTTTTCTAAGAGCAAAACAATTTTGCCATTACAACAACAGCGCACCCACCACTTCCATTACCAAGACTCATAATAATACCACATCTGTTTAGTTTTTATGCGAAGGGTCACATTCGTGCAGTGCAGGAAGATGTGCAAGGGACGGATGGAGTGTAGGATGGTTGGGTGCCTATGCTCCTGATTCACAACATTGATCGAGTCCTTAACCTCATCTTAAAATGGGGTACTTTTCCAGCGGTGGAACAATCTCTCCATTCTCATTTTCCATAATGTCAATCGTTTTCCGAGTGAATTTCATTACTCTTTTTGGGGTGTCAAAGTGTCCCCAGAATTGCACAGTCGTCGGTTCAAACAACTTCCACCCCCAGTTTGGATACACATTACTCGTTGGATGAGTGGGTGGTTCTCTGAGTGAGAATGATGTATTATGCTTTTGCCTATTGTGGCTGGCACCCTCAACAAAATATCCGTCCCAGATTGCGACATGTATTCGAGTTTATAATGCGTAAGTGGCAGGAGATGGATTATTCCCTTAATGAACTTGAGTGAAGTGAACGAAACGAAACCCTTGGAGAATTAGACTCATATTCATTCAGCGTCACATACTCAAATCACAAATGGGAGAGAGCTGTTCAATATATGTAACAACAAACATGTCCAATCATTCACCCTCTCACGCTCTCATTTCACTCGCAGTCAGCTCACAATGGGTATAAGTGAGT